TCAATGATTCAAATAGAAAAACATCTTTTCTCTTATACTGTATGTGAGTTTGACTCCTGGTCTTTCTTTCACCATCAGGAATTTTCCAGGTAGCTTTGAATTAACCAAGGGTCCTTGGTTCCACCCTAACCCGGTGTGAAAGCACTACACACATTTTAAAGAACACACTTAGGTTTGCTTTAAAGCATGAGCAACAATAAATGTATCAAACCAGGAAGTTTGTTCTTAAACTAGTGTTTGTCAAAGAGAAACTACTTCTGTCTCACAAAAGGAACAACTGAAGTATGCTTGGTTGTTTTAAGCTCTCTACAAATACACTTCTTTTGTGGATGTTGAGACCACTTTGCTTACCGGAAACCAAAGTGCACACAGCTGTAACTTTGTCTGGTGATAGGTAGAATATTAGTCTGTATTTTTTAAATATTTTCATTTGGTAAAGCAGACAGTTGCTGTGTTGGCAAGTGTGAATTTCATTTCCTGTCTGTGGTGTACCCCACTCATCCTGTCACTCAAGACATTTTGTTTTAGGTTGTTCCCGTAATGTGACTGAAACAGAGTGACCCACAGCAGGGTGACATGTGCATACCACGAACGTAACAAGAGACAAGACTTGTGCAACAGACCACAAGAGCGTAATGCTTTATTTAAAGATGAAAACAAAACAAAATAAAGGCGGCCCCTCCCAGCCAGCATGCAGAATTTTAAAGTGGCATCCATGACTTCTTGTATTTGTTTTTAGAAGACATGTTCCAATCTGTTTGGCAAGTTAGTTCAAAAGTTTATCAGCTTTATGCCTCTTAATTAAAGGATAAAGTTGAGTCAACGACTGACAATATTATAGAGGTGATTTAATTTTATTTGCCAACTAATGTATCATCAGACATTTGTATTTACAATCCATTAATCTGCCACATATATTGAGTTCTGTAACAATTATTTTTTACATGTGAAATTACAGGATTTCTGTTTCCTTGTCCTAAATTACATTTCCTGCTGCAATGACAGGACAGATAAAACTGTGTGGGAAGAACTCTGGGATGAATTGATTCATCCTTAAATAGCTATTGAGCACCTAATATGCATTTGGCACTATTTCCAATGTTGAGGATTATGTACTGAGCAAAATAAAATCCTCGCTCTTCATTGAGCTTATATTCTATCATAAGGAGATAACCACAATCAAGTATACAAGTAAATAAGTGTAATTTTAGTATATGATATATATCCCGGAGGAAACACAACCGAACGGCAGGATAGAGTATGACTGGGACGAGGAAGAGGTGATGATACTGGAGCTGTGGCTTAAATAGTGACAGGCCAAGAGAAAATTATCCCACGTAGAAAATAAAAAGCATGAGGTGCCTGGGTGGCTCAGTTGGTTGAGCGCCTGCCTTTGGCTCAGATCATTATCCCAGGGTTCTGGGATTGAGCCCCTTGTGTCTTGGGCTCCCTGTCAGCAGGGAGCCTGCTTCTCCCCCTCTCTCTGCCCCTCCCCTGCATGTTCTCCCTGTCTCTCTCAAATAAATAAAATCTTTTTTTAAAAAAAAAAGAGAAGAAAAAGCACAAAGGACCTAAGAAGGGGCCTGAAATACGGAAGAAATAAAAGAGACCAGTGCAACTATAGCAAGTGAACAAAAGGGGAGATAGTACAAAATCAGAAAAGTAATGTATTATTGGATGTTACAGGGCCTTGAAGTCTAAGCTAAAGACTTCAGCTTTTCTTCATAAGTACAAAGGGAAACACATGCTATATCTGTGTATTTTGTATATATAGAATCCCTCTGGTTGCTCTTTGGTAAGTGGATAGCAGCAGTGCAGAAGTGGTTGCAGACAGGCTAGTTAAGAGACTTTTTGCTGATAGAATGTCTGGGATTAGTTTCACTTCAGGGACAAGGTAAAGAGAGTAAGGACGTAGAAGAAACAAAGATTGGCCTTGGATTAAAGCTGAAATGTGAGAGAATGTGGAGGTTCATTATATCATCCCCTCTATTTCTGTTTATGTTTGTAATTGTCTGTAATAAAAAGCTTGAAAAAAAAAAACCTTTAACAGTGATCTAAGTTTTGAAAAATGATGGTGCCATGGACATTGTCAGAGTAGTAATAGAACTAAGTGGGCAGATTCAAGATACATTTGGAAGTATAGCCCCAGGTCTTGCTGATGAATTAGGATACATATTATTGCAGGAAAAAAGAGAAACCAAGGATGACTGTCAAGTATTTGGCTCAAACAATTTGGGTGGATAAGACTAGGGATCAGGTTTGTAGGGACTCCAGAGCTTTGTTTTGGCAATGTAAATTTGAGACACCAATTGGATTTCCAAGCGGAAATGTTGAGTAGACAGCGTAATTTACAATACATTAGCTAACTCTGCATAAACATACTTATAAGCAAACTTGGAACCCTCCATTATATGTTTCTAAATTTTGACATTAATGTTTTAGAAGTTCTGTCCTTTTCAAAGTTTGTGAATAACATTTTTTTAAAGATTTTATTTATTTATTTGACAGAGAGAGAGATCACAAGCAGGCAGGCAGAGAGGGAGAGGGGAAGCAGGCTCCCTGCTGAGCAGAGAGCCCAATGCGGGGCTCGATCCCAGGACCCTGAGATCATGACCTGAGCCAAAGGCAGAGGCTTAACCCACTGGGCCACCCAGGCACTCCCCTGTGAATAACATTTAAAAGGCTTAGTCTGTTGGTATGAAATAGTTCCAATATATTTTCTCTTTTCTGTGGATATTTACTAGTAATTATATCACTGCTATGCTGAACAGTAAATCTCCACCTCTGTTGAGCTGTCATTTACATGAAGAATGGTGTTAACATGTCAAACTCCATAGGTTAAACCCATTTCCTGTGTCGTCCTTTCACTGCATGTGGGAATGCAAGTCAGTGAAAAAAGTTGTGAGTAACACTTGAGCATGGTGTTTGTGTATTTTAAACAAAAATTTTTTGGCAAACTTTGAGTCTATTATTAGTAACTTAGTATTGTAACATCATTTACATCTGATTAGAATCTAATCAGATGCTGTTATGATAGTAATAGACCCAGTAACAATAACTAATATTTGTTAAGGACACCACTTTTTTTTTTTTTACACTGTGTAATTCCTTCATTTTCTGTGTATTAGTACTTTACCAACACTATAATCATAAAGAACACAATTCCAAGTACTGTACTTTTTAGTTTAGAGAGATCACAGTCTATAGACACATTTACTTATATTAGACAAGATTAATCTCATTCAGAACTTACTGCAGTTTATAAATTCTCATAAATACAGAAATTGATGCAATTAAACAAAAACTTCAGGATCTTATTTTTTAAATTCCTAGGTCATAACTTTTTCCGTGGGCTGCAATTACCTGCTCTCTGATCACCGATGGTTATGGTTCAATTTAACTACGTAAATTATCAACCTTTTATATCCTTAAATAAAATGTATATGAACATTACAATTTCTTACCAAAAAGCTTAGCATTTTCCAAATTTCAAAATTTGTTTCCTCCTCCCCCCTTTAGCTAGTCATTTCAAGTAAACTAAAAATAACCACATCTCACCTGCAACATTTAATAGCAGTCATTTGATGTATAAAATTTTAACTATGCTCCCAGTTATTTAAAACACACAGAAAATGGCTGCCTATCAATCTGTCTGTCACAAGTTAAAAATACTACATTTAAGAATTAAGATGAGGGACTCCTGGGTGGCATAGTCAGTTGAACGTCGGACTCTTGGTTTCAGCCTGGGTCATGATCTCAGGGTCATGGGATCCAGCCCCACAACCCCCGACTCTGTGGTCAGCATGGAGTCCGCTTAGAGTTTCTCTCTCCCTCTGCCCCTCCCCACCATTCTGTCTCTCTCTTTCTCAAATATATAAATCTTAAAAAAAAAATAAAAATAAAAAGAATAGAGATAAGAGGGGCACCTGAGTGGCTCAATTGGTTGAGTGCCCAACTCTTGATTTTTGGCTCACATCATGATCTCAGGGTCATGGGCTCCCCTCCCTCATCTACCTCCCTACTTCTGTGTGCACTCTCTCTCTCTCAAATAAATAAATCTTTAAAAAGAAAAAAAAAGAATTAAGATGAGGGTTTCCAGTTTCCTCCAGTTTAAGCATTTATACCTTTATGCTTGTCTTGTCTAAAGATGTTTCCAGGTCGCCTGGGTGGCTCAGTCATTTAAGCGGCTGCCTTCAGCTCAGGCCTGATCCCAGGGTTCTGGGATTAAGCCCCAAATAGGGCTTCCTGCTCAGGGGAAAGCCTGTTTATTTCTTTCCCTCTGCCTGCCACTCTGCCTACTTGTGCTCTCTATCTCTCTGTCAAATAAATAAATAAAATCTTTTTAAAGGAAAAGATGTTTCTATAGTATTGATATTTGTGTAACCCATGTTTATGCACCTTAAAATTCAATCATTTTAAACACTAAGAATTAAATTCATGGTAGATCTTTGGGAGTTTTAAAAGCAACTAAAGTGTTCTCAGATGTGTCTGCCAGCTTCATTTCTAGAGATACTACTAAAGCAAAACTGAGAGTTTTATACCTTAGTTGCATTTTGAATTCAAAAATCCCTCTGCACAAGGGCATTACTCTAAGAAACTGTATCCTTGTTGACTCCGCACAATAGCTTTGATTTATTACCTGTATTTTACCCATAAGGAAACTTAGGCCACCTAAAATTCACTCAGGTAAGAAGTAGCAGAGCCAGGATTCGAACCCAGGAGATCTGGCTCCAGAGCCATTACCCTCTTTTTTGTTTCCCGAGCCTTTATTCTTAACTGCTACCATGTGCTATATATAGAATATTGTAGGTTTCAGAAAAACTGTCTAGACTATATGGGTTTGTGTAAATAAAAGGGTCTCTCTGGATTTTATTTTTACTCCATCCCATGAAATTGGAACTTTGGAAGATGGAAGAGAGAATAATCCCAAAATGTATCTCCATCATACTCTGATTTCCTTCCTTAAATAATCCATTTCCTTTTGACTTTTTCCCTTACAGCATCAGCGAGAGCTTTCTAACTGTCAAAGGTGCTGCCCTTTTTCTACCACGGGGAAATGGCTCATCCACACCAAGAATTAGCCACAGACGCAACAAGCATGCAGGTAAAGTTCCACATATACCATTCTTTTCTTGGTTTCTTTGCCTTTTGTTTTATTCTAAAAGGCTGACAACCTTATCTCCATTTCTCCAATAGTCTTGTAATAGTGAAAGAAAGCATTGTATTGTGCTATAATCACTTGTCTTTCACTCTATTTTTTTGGCACTTAACAGAATGCATTATATATGTAGTATGTGTTCAATAAATTTGTGTTGGAGAAATAATACGGTACAAGAATACTCTAATAAATTCTTATGTGACTTATCACTTAAGGTTTTCCAGTAGCAAATTCCCAGTTTGCTTACCGGCAGTACTTTTCACCACTAACAAACATGCGTTTCCACATACCCAGCTCACTTAAGAAGCCTTACCGTAGGGATAGGGCTTCCTGACTTTTGCCTGACCTTCCAAGAAGCCAGCTGGATCTTTGGGCCAATAACACTTGGAGTAGGGTCTTACGTCCACTATTTACCTAGAAATAGCTGTCCTCTACAGGTTCTCCATCCTAAAAATCTTCTCTTAGGTCGTTTGTATTGATAGAACAGAAGGAATCTTAATTTTTAAAAAGCCTCAGCTGCTTAACTCAATTATAACATGTAACTTAAGTCACTCTTCATTGTTTACACCTAACACTCTGTCTCCCCACACTGGTTCTTTTTTTTTTTTTTTACAGTTTTATTGAGTTATAATTCACATACCATATAATTCACCTAATTTACCCATTTAAAGTTTGCATTCGTTGTTGGGTTTTGTTGTTTGTTTTTTTTTCATATGTACAGAGTTGTACAACCATCACTGTAACTTTAGAACATTTTCATCACCCCACAGAAGAAACTCACTTACCCATTAGCAGTCATTCCCTATATCTTCCACCCTCCCTGCCAATCCTAAGCAACCACTAATCTATTTTCTCCGTCTATAGATTTGCCCATTCTGGGTGTTCCATATAAGTGGATCATATAAAAATGATCTTTTGAGACAGGCTCCTTTCATTTAGCATAATGTTTTCAAGGGTCATTTACATTATAGTATATGTCAGTACTTCATTCCTTTTTATGACCAAATAATACTCTAGTGTATAGATATACCACATTTTATTTTTCCATTCACCAGTTGATAGACATCTGAGTTGTTTCCAATTTTTGTCTGTTACAAATAATGCAGCTGTGAATCTTTATGTATACATTCTTGTGTAAACATATGTTTTCATTTCTCTTGGTTTTATACCTATGAGCCCATACTGGTTCTTACAAATGAGACTTACGTTGTGTCTCTGGGTTTGAAATGTGCTAGAACAGACCTGACCAAACATGATGATTCGCCTTTTTAATTTTGCAAGTTGAAAGATTCTGCAGTAATGGAATTGGTCAGAAGCCAGCATTGAACTGGAGATGGGGGTTGGGGGAGGCAAGAAAACTATTCTTTAAGAGAAGGAAAGGGTTGGGGGAAAGGAGAGGCTTTCAGACTTGCTGACCTTTTAAACAAGTATCTGTTCGCTAACCTACTTTTCTTTCTTCCTGCCCCTTACCACGTCTTGCACATAATAGTATTTCATCTCACAGTTAACAGTTGAAGTTACATGGAGGAAGATTTTGTATGTAGATTTCAAGACGAGTATGAGAACAGGTTCAACTGGCATCTGTGATCAGGTGGCTATGTCAGTCACTTTAGACTGTTAAAGAGCTGGACCTGGGTGGGCATGAATGACGTTTTTTGTTCTCGGATTATCATCATTTATAACAGTACGTTATCTAATTATCTTCTACTAGCCAAAGCCCCAGGTTTTCTAGTATAGAATAAGGAGTATGAGAAAATCTATAATACTTTAATACAAAAAAATTCAATTTAGCGTTGGGGAATGTGTAGAAACAAGTATGTATTCAAATAATGGTTGGCCACATTAAAGGACCTAACATTAGGTTCAGTGGAATATTTATTTCTTGGGACCCGCTATATTTAATGAGTACTCTTTCTTGAAAATCAGCCACTAATATGGAAATCATTTTAAACCACTGACATTATTCTAAGGGGAATATAAAAATCTTCTTAGGTTAAGTGCAACTGAAGATTTACAGAAATAAGAATGGCAAAATAGTTAGCTTTTTTTAAAGTTAGAGGTAATTCTAAACCCATTCTTCACAGTTTTCAGGATTCCCTCCTTGCTGCCTTTAGTGGGCCTGAAAGTACAGCCCAACACATCTCACCATTGCTTTCATCAACATCCACCATAGTACAAAACTGGTACTGGTTTCAAGTGTATCTTCCACTGGACAAACAAAGCAAATTTTAATGTAGTATAGGCTAAAAGTGAATGTATAGAGATGCAGTCTACCATTCTGTCTTTCCACTTAAAGTTAATAATTATATTAAGACACTCAATTTCTGTGTCTAATTATAGTCATTCCGTGACCCAGAAATTTCTTTTATACTGGTTAGTAACGTAGAAGGAATCCTCTCTATTAGCATTACAATGCAGAATAATTATTTTTTGTTTCATAAATTTCACCAGGTGATCTCCAACAGCATCTCCAAGCAATGTTCATATTACTCCGCCCAGAAGATAACATCAGGCTGGTAAGTTAGTGTTATCATTGTAAGTCCTACTCAAAAGACTGTCTAAGATGGCAAACATTAAGCAGTCATTATTATGTCGCCACAGAGTGCTGGGAGCTATGTGGAACAAAAAAGAATAACATGTCCGCACCATCAAAGAGCTTAGAATGTCACTGGGAATATGAACTAATGTGAAATTATGTGAAATAATTTGATGATTCAAGGCTGTTGATAAGCACCAGTTTGTAGGTTACTGACCATAACAACAACTGAAGTTCAGAAGAAAGAATACTCGAAGACTTGCCCTAGTTAGAAAGGTTTTATGTATACAGTAGAGCTTGAGCTGTGTCTTAAAAGATGATGAATTTAGATTGGCAGAAAGAAGGAAGTCCGTCCTTCTACATGAGGGCCTGACTGAGGCAAAATCACATGTAAAGTTGGACAAGGAGAGAGTAAAAGGGCCAGGGATTTGTGCGGGTTTCAGAGAAAGGAGACCTGGGCTTAGGCTTTTGCTAATCATGTGATGTTGGACAAATTGCTTAGTTTGTCTGAGCCTGCTTTCTCATCTCCTTTCTACGTCTCACAGTTGAGAGGATCAACTGGACCTGAAAGCATATTGAAAGTATAAAATGCTGCCCAAATCTGGGGATTATTGTTACTATAAGGAAGATAAGATACCAGAAAACAGGGCATTTAAATAGGGATTTAATGCTCCAAACGAGAGGACTCAAAATGGCAGATATATTTTATTTGGACCACAGTGGTATTGTTTTTCACTCCAAGCCAGAATTTTAAAGTTGAATGATTTCACATAAAAATCCATACTTGGAGCTTGTCTTCAAAAATCTAAAACTCCGGGGGCACCTGGGTGGCTCAGTGGGTTAAAGCCTCTGCTTTCAGCTCAGGTCATGATCCCAGGGTCCTGGGATTGAGCCCCACATCGGGCTCTCTGCTCTGCGGAGAGCCTGCTTCCTCCTCTCTCTCTCTGCCTGCCTCTCTTGCCTACTTGTGACCGCTGTCTGTCAAATAAATAAATAAAATCTTTAAAAAAAAAAAAAAATCTAAAACTCCGGCAACACTGGGACCTTATGCTAGCCTGATAAAACTTGCTAGACCCAAAGGGGCAGGCATGGGTATGGCCTGGGTTCTTAACTTACCATAATCTGCATATATTCTATGGTCTCCTAGACTCTAAAGCCAAGTGTCTCCATTTATCATCATTTTTTCACTGTTACTTTTCTTACAGTAGAACATTAAATTAAAATAGGAAAACAGGGGCGCCTGGGTGGCTCAGTGGGTTAAGCCTCTGCCTTCAGCTCAGGTCATGATCTCAGGGTCCTGGGATCAAGCCCCGCATCGGGCTCTCTGCTCAGCGAGGAGCCTGCTTCCCCCTCTCTCTGCCTGCCTGCCTACTTGTGATCTCTCTCTCTCTGTCAAATAAATAAATAAAATCTTAAAAAAAAAAAAATAGGGGCACCTGGGTGGCTCAGTGGGTTAAGCTACTGCCTTCAGCTCAGGTCATGATCTCAGGGTCCTGGGATCGAGTCCCGCATCGGGCTCTCTGCTCAGCCGGGAGCCTGCTTCCCTCTCTCTCTGCCTGTCTCTCTGCCTACTTGTGATCTGTCCCTGTCAAATAAATAAATAAAATCTTTTTAAAAAAATAAATAAATAAAAATAAATAAAAAAATAAAATAGGAAAACAGATGGTATGAGTATGTTTCTTTATGAAAAGTGAAGAGCATTTCTACCCATTTAATAGTCATATGGCCTACTGTACTCATTTATATTCCCTATCTGACCCTCTATATTAATAATAGTTGGAGGTAGTACCTCTACCTGTTCATAAGCAGTAGTGTCAAACATTACAGGGTTTGGAGCAACGAATTATGTGGAATAGCTACAGTATTTAAGAGAGGGGCACCTGGCTTGCTCAGTCAGTAGAGTATAGTAGAGTATCCAACTCTTGATCTCTGCATTGTGAGTTTGAGGCCCACATTGGGTATAGAGATTACTAAAAAAGAAAGAAAGAAAAGAAAAAAGAGCAAGAGAGAGATTCTTCAGAAGCTAATACAGAATAGTGGGGAGGAGGAAACCACCTTAAGTCATGGAGATCTGCTAGGTAGTTATTGCAGTCATCTAACCATGTGGTGATCAGCCCTTCTAGGCTGGGGTGGTAACTTGGAAATTGGGTTTCTGTCGGCATGTTAAATTCAAATGGTTGATCTCTATGCTCTGGACAGGAAGAGAAATAATAAGTAGAATATAAGAATGACTGTAAAAAATTGATCAGGTCTCTGAATTCTGTGGTAATTAACTGATTTTTCATTCACTTAATCATTCTGTGTTCAAATTCTGTCATTTTTTCTCTCAAATGCTGCCTCTATCATCTTCTTAAAATGGCCACAAATTTTTGTTGAGTGAGAAACAGCCTTTGAAATTTAAAGAACATGGAATAAGAAATCTTTATATAATTATTTTATATCCTAATTTGAGAGTCACATCATGCATTTATGTAAATCTTGTCTATATTTTTATATACGTCTATCTTAAACACTTCTTTATAAGTGAACAAAGGTGCTGTACAGTTCTTACAGCATTCATATTCTCACGCAGGGATACTCAAACCTCAGAATCACCTGCAGAACTTTGTTGAACTACCCCCCCCAACCCTTTGCTGGATTCCACCCACAGTATTTGATTTGGGGAGGGGGAGGTAGTAATTATTTGCATTTTTAACAAATTTTCCAGCCATGTTGATGCTGCTGATCCAGGAGTCGTGCTTTGAGAACACCTCCTCTAAAACCCATAGTAATGGTCACTTGCACACACTTGGTGTCCATCAGATCCATGTATATAGTTTCCCCAAAATTGTGTGGTTTTGTAGAGTTCAAGTCGAGGTCTGTCATCACTTTATCTTTTTCTCCTTGATAACCTTCTGGAATTTAGATTGCACTTCTAAACATTAAAATAATTTTAACCACAGGAGAGCATTAAGGAAGCAGTTCGGTAAGGCAGAGTTGGCAATTAACTTTTTTTCTTGCCCTGCTAAAATATGCAGCTTCAACTTCTTTACATTTATAAAATATAAATTCAGAAAATATAACTGATGCCTCTGAATTAATTCAGTTTAAATGACAAGCCATTTTACAGTTGTTTTGAATTGTTACAAACACATAGTCATTATGTTTCAGATTATTGAGTGAGTCATCTTCAAGAAAATGAGTGAATACATTGTGTGACTTTGGACAAATTAGCACTTTTCTAACTGAAAGGAGCGTTTGTAGACTCAAAGCAAGGCCTTTTGTTTTGAGTTAAATTTGGAATGCTAAAATTCTCATCCTGGGGCTTGTACATAAGGTTAAAAGTTTGATAGTCAACTGAAAGTCCTGCCCTTATTTTTTTAATAACCCAACAACAGATAGTGGCACCAAATCCCACATTTTGCTTTAGCATTGAAAATAAGACTAAACCATTTTTTCCTCTAGGGAAGCTTTGCATTCCAAATACATGCATTAATACTTAATACAAGCATTAAGTTCAGTACTTAGGAAAACCGTAGCTGGTAAAATGAAGACCATGGTTTTTTTAGTTACTCTTGCACATTACCAAAGGCCCATTTAATTAAAAAAAAAAAAGGACTGGGAAATAAAAAAACTGTCCTAACATCTGAAGTAACTTTTATATTCTTAACTAGCGTTAAGGTGCTGAAAAGATACAAGGAGATGTTTTTCAAGTACTTTGCAGGAGAGTTTAAGAAAATAAAGGCTTTTGGGACACCTGGGTTGCTCAGTTGGTTGAGCGGCTGCGTTCGGCTCGGGTCATGATCCCAGCATCCTGGGGTCAAGGCCTGCATTGGGCTCCCTGCTCAGTGGGGAGCCTGCTTCTCCCTCTGCCTGCTTGTGCGTGCTCGCTCTCTCTCTCTCTCTCTCTCTCTGACAAATAAATAAATAAATAAAATCTTTTGGAAAAAAAAAAGAAAAAGAAAATAAGGGCTTTTTTTACTTTGTTTTTTATGGTATGTTGATGTTTTCCGAAAGTGAAAATGAGTATTTTTTCTAAATATAACATTTTTAAAAATCCTACAATTCAGGAAGGTGTAAGGAAGAAAGTAAAAATCACTTTGTATCCTATATTCTGAGAAAATCATTCTTAGCAATTTGGATAAGTATCCTTCCAGTCTTTCCTGTGTGCATGTGTATGTGTGTGTGTGTGTAAGAGTATGTCAGATTCTCTGACTTCTGCTCTTACTGAAGTGGATCAGTGATTAAAATAGCCAAATTTGAGGGCGCATCGGTGGCTCAGTGGGTTGAGCCTCTGCCTTCGGCTCAGGTTATGATCTCGGGGTCCTGGGATCGAGTTCCACATCAGGCTCTCTGCTCAGCAGGGAGCCTGTTCCTCCTCTCTCTCTCTCTGCCTCTCTGCCTACTTGTGATCTCTCTCTGTCAAATAAATAAATAAAATCTTTAAAAAAAATAAAATAAAATAGCCAAATTTGAGTATCAGAAGACCTACTAGTCTCCCCGGTTGATCTCTATATTTCTGAGAAGCAAAAGTATAAAGCATCAGGCTCCACACTCAGTGTGGAGTCTGCTTGTCCTTTTCCCTCTGCTTCTCCCCCAACTCATGCTCTCTCTCAAATAAATAAATAAAATCCTTAAAACAATAAGACCTATGTCTGGGGGGTGAGGAGGGGTGTTTGTGTGTTTTAAAAAAGTGGATAACTGAGGACTTGCTTGTGGATGAATGAAACTGGGGGAAATGTGTACATATGAAAGGCTAATAATCAGTTTTGAACAATGATGAAAAGGTTTTACTACTGACTTTTATAACTATGAAGGTTTCTACTGAGCTCAGAATTGAATGGAGAAAAGAGTATATGTCAGCACCTTTTTTTTTTTTAACAAGAATGAGATAAAAATATAAATGCTGACTTATAACCAGCTTTCTTCACACTTTATTTTGAATATCTTTCCATGTCAACAAGTAAATCTGTTTTTAATGGCTATGCAGAATATAATACAGAGATTTTTTTTAACTTAAGAATATCATAGAGATAAACCAAAAAAAAAACAGAATCCTGAGACTCCCTCAAGCTCTATTGCTTTTGAAAACAGTATTCTTTAGTTTATTAGTGTCACATCTGAAGTCTGTTTTAATTTTAGATAATGACTTTGCTTTGTTCTTTTGGCTAGAATTTAATATTTACATACTTTTGAAACCTTTCTCTCTGATGGATGGGGTGAGCTGCCTGTCTAGACATTGGGACTTTGTAATGTGGCTTCCTTAAGGATAAACATTGCATGCAGTAGCATGATGTAAGACTTGGTGAAAAGAAATTAAAGGCAAAGGTGCAGTGTAAGCTTAAGGAGTAGGATTTCTTGATGTTGGATGCTGCTGAGGACAGAAGTTGTTTTTTCAGGCGGTGCTTGTGAACTGCTTGTAATCAGATTATAAGCATCTAAATTAGTTACTGAGAAAAGTTTTGTGTGTTTTTTGTTTTAAGATTTTATTTATTTATTTGACAGAGATCACAGTAGACAGAGAGGCAGGTAGGGGTAGGGTGGGGAGCAGGCTCCCCACTGAGCAGAGAGCCTGATGCGGGGCTCAATCCCAGGACCCTGGGATCATGACCTGAGGTGAAGGCAGAGGCTTTACCCCACTGAGCCACCCAGGCGCCCCTGGGAGAAGTTTTAACATCATTCTTTAGTAGATGAGTTTTGCAAACAGATTGTGTTCTTACCAGAAATAAAGCAGAGGCATCTGAGTTCTCAGACCTCTCAGTCCTCAGATTGCTGAGTGGAGTCCACCTGACACTTGTAACAGGATCCAAATTTAAGCAATAAATGGGCTTTCTTGGAATAATTTTCTCAGTTGCTATTGTTGTGAAGTTTCAAAATTCAAAATATTGTTTTGGCTGGATAAGTAGAATAAACTTCATTGGTATCCTTTTCAGTGAGAACTGGAGTTAGTCAGAGGCACCTGAATTATTGTCTTATTTCAGTCATCTATTCCAGATTCTCCAAAATTTGGAGACTGAGGAAACACTGGAATTGCTGCCAATTCTAATATTAGGGTATTATGTACAAACTGCCATTTTAAATTACATTTCTCTGATTAACTTCATGAATTAAATTAGATTATTAGATTTTATCAGTCTTCTTCCTAATGGTGGAATATGAGATAAACCTCTAACCCAGGTGGGTGCTAGGTTTTTCTTTATGTTATGGCTCTTAAAATTTTAATTTCATAACCTTGAATCTTGAAGCCTTAAAAAAAATTTGAAACCTCAGGTCCATCCTCAGCATTGCTGAATTTGTTCATTCGTTCATTCGTTCTTCCTTCCTTCCCCTCTTTCTTTCTTTTAAAGATTTTTTCTTTTTTTTTTTTTTTTTTGAGAGAGAGAGAGAGAGCGTGAGAGAGAAAATGAGAGAGAGAGAGTGCACATGAGCAGGGGGAGGTGCAGAGCAAGAAACAGACTCCCTGCTGAGCACGGAGCCCCATGCAGGACTTGATCCCTGGAGTCCAGGATGCTGACCTAAGTGGAAGGCTAATCGACTGATTAGAGTTTTTTTATAAGAAATTTCATCTCAACCTTCTTTAGGATATAGGTGTTGAGGATTACTGTCATAACTTTTGACCCCCTGATTAAAGCTCCACTTCCTTTTAGTAAGGATTAATTGAGGCACCTAGCTGATTCCATTGGTAAAGCATGAAACCCTTGGTCTCAGGTTTGGAAATTGAAGCCCCACTCGATGTAAAGACTACTTAAAAATAAGATCCTAAAAAGAAAGAAAAAAAGAATTAGCAATTACAAAGTTTACTCTCTAGAGGTCCATGATCAAGTCCCAGGGCCTCTAAGTGCCTTTCTTCAATAAAAGAAGCTTGGAATTGAAGAAATCCGAGGTGCACTTATTACTCAGTCCTAAATTAGTGTAAATGACTAGGGCCTTTCCCATTAGGTTTGGGGTCTGAAATTATGATGATATTAATAAGCAAAGGAAGATATAATGTTTGACATGCTCTTGATATTATGAGTAAATAAACACCTCATTTTTTAAAAAGAGACAACTAGTGTTTGCCCTGAGTATCCCAAAGAAATGCTTGCTGCCCACCTGCTAACTTAGCCTAATAATTTGTATGATGGGTAATATTTGTGGAGGTTATTTCTTTTTTCCTTTTATCAGTTTTAGCTTAGCCAACCAGTTGCCACTATTTGGTGTAGAAGCTGTATATAAATTATCAGGAATAGAGTTCAGCTGTTCCAATTCCATTGTATTTGATCCTTGACAGAGAATAAAAGAGCCTCTAACATATTCAGGAAACTGAACAGTTAGCTCAGAGCTTGCTGAGGCAAGCCCAAGTTTAGATATGTAATAATATCTGAGATTTGATTATAAAAAATTCTAGTTCAGTATGTGCTATGGTGAGTGCTGTGAAATGTGTAAGCCTGTTGATTCACAGACCTGTACCCCTGGGGCAAATAATACATTATATGTTAATAAAAATAATTTTAAAAAATTCTAGTTCACTCGCACTGCGTTTCTGATTAATATTTTAATTTCATTCCTAGAATCGGAGAGTCCATGCTATCTTCCATTCCTCCTTATGTGCATTTATTGCTATCCGTAGCTATATCCATAATGTTCATTTAGCCCAGCCTACTAGGGTTAGACCTTCATCCATTTAATATTAGTTTTTCTTAGAGTCTCACAAATGAATTCGGTTTGAAATGCTCCATTACTTTATGGAACATAAAGTTAGTAATACAGCTCTCTGCCTGTGTACTTGAAATCAGAATGGTCAGCATTACATTCTTGTTTTATCAGCTTCTATTAGAAACAAGCTTTAATGTAGCCAATTCTACCTTTTGTGCTTCCCTAGCTTTTCCTAGGAGTATCAGAATAGAACCAAAAAGATAGCCACGACAGTCTCACCTCTGCCTTGCTAAATGGCTCACTTAAGCTGTGTGACTGCATCTCTTTTTCTCTTCGCCTGGCTACTTTGGGATTAGTGACAGAATTGAGGGAGAGGAGACTCTGAGAAGCACTGAAAGAATCCCAATTAGAAATTGCTGTCAGGGGCGCCTGGGTGGCTCAGTGGGTTAAGCCGCTGCCTTCGGCTCAGGTCATGATCTCAGGGTCCTGGGATCGAGTCCCGCATCGGGCTCTCTGCTCAGCAGGGAGCCTGCTTCCCCCCGCCCTTCCTCTCTCTCTGCCTGCCTCTCTGCCTACCTGTGATCTCTCTCTGTCAAATAAATAAATAAAAATCTTAAAAAAAAAAAATTGCTGTCAGGGGGCACCTGGGTGGCTCAGACTTCAAGCGTCTGTCTGCCTTTGGCTTGAGTTGTGATCCCGGGGTCCTGGGATCGAGCCCCACATCAGGCTCCCTGCTCAGCAGGAAGCCTGCTTCTCCCTCTCCCACTTCCCCTGCTTGTGCTCTCTCTCTTGCTGTGTCTTTCTCTGTCAAATAAATAAATAAAATCTTAAAAAAAGAACATGCCCTGGTAGTTGCTATTATTATAAATTATGCTAGTAGCCAATATTTGTTGAACTTTTACTATATGACAAGCACTGTGCTATATAAACATACACTATTTCAAATGATTCTTATAACCCAGTGGGATAGGTATTATTGTATCTCCCTCTGATTAATTTAGTAACTTACTGAAGGTTTCAGTTAATACATGAGCTGGAATTAGAATTTAAGTCTTCCTGAGCATGCTTTAAGATGCTGATATAAAAAGAGGTTGAATGATCTAAATCTGACCTTCTACATTTCCTAATACATCTGTTATCTTTTAACTTCCAGGCTGTAAGACTAGAAAGTACTTACCAGAACAGAACACGCTATATGGTAGTGGTTTCAACCAATGGTAGACAAGACACTGAAGAAAGCATCGTCCTGGGAATGGATTTCTCCTCTAATGACAGGTATGGTATCACAAAAGGAAGGATGAGAAAACTCCTTTTTAAATAACTATTCCAGTTGCCTTTTGAGTTACTACAAAAACATCTTATGCTGTTCCACTCTTAAAGTTCAATGCCTAAAACCAGGGAGCACAAAAGTATCTTAGTCATACAGTCTTGAAAGATGAAAATGATCAATGAATGTCTTTGGTTCCTAATTTATCACTATTCCTTACCTTCCTCTCATCCTTAGATGGTAATGAATATAAATGATTTAAACTGTTTAAATATAAATGATTTAAACTTATATCTCCAGGAATAAAAAGCTGCCTTATCTTTGTAGTTAACTTTATTTTAAGCAGTAATGATTCACTTTGCTGATTCTAGGGCACGTACCCTTTGTGATAGTGCACCAGTAGATTTTGGGTTCAAAGAGTGCCCACTTTAGCTCTAATCTCTTGCATTTATTCATGGCCTTACACCTTGGCTTTTACTAAATGTTTTGCTTCCTTTTTCCTTCTGAGTTAAAAGGGCGGGGTGGGATGGAATTGATTTTTTTAACTCAGAACAGAACCTTTTATACTCCTGCACCTTTGGCTTTAGCAGCACTTTGCATCCTATAATTAAGGGTATCATACCACACTCAGAACCTGGCTCTTTTGTGTGCCTAAAGTTTATTGCTCTCCTTTTTTATTTTCCCTCTTCTTCTGGAGAAACCTTTGGAAGACTGTGGAATGTGGCTAAGCAGATCTTTGCACTCTAAATAATAAGCTGCAGGAAATCCTGCCAGATGTCTCAAAGCATTTGACTTCCTGGTTTGAAACTAGAATGGAACTGTGGAGTAGTAGCTAGCAGTGTGACCCAGGCCTGGGAGAATTTAGCCACAAAGAAGAGACTAGGAGTGATTCTAATTGTCATGATGTTGGGAGGAAAAGAATCACACTGTTATTAGGTTTCCCAAACAAGTGTTTACCTAAGCTTGTATAGTCAACCTGAAAATTATTTGTGGTTTCACAAGGATCACAAGGCCAGAGTTGTTACCTTGTATAACTCTTACAGCCTTTGATTGTATGCTCTGAAATTGCACAGGCTTGTAAACCATATTTAGGTTTTCTCCTGCATGGATTTAACCTCTGGTGTTGGCTAAGCAATAGACCTTTCAGTAAGCATTTATCCTTTAAGAGCACCTATCTTGCCTATATTCATTAGTATTTTAAGGCTTCTGATTTAGATTTTTATCTCTTTAGATCTACACTATCCCATTCAGTAACACCACATGGTGACTATTTAAAGAAGTTAAAATTAAACAAAATTTAAATTTCAGTTCCTCAATCACAACTAGCCACATTTCAAGTACTCTAGCTATATGGGACTCGTGGCTACGTTAATGGACATTACATATATAGAACATTTCCATCATTGAAGAAAGTTCAGTTGGACAGTGCTACTCTATATCCTATTTCCTTTGGTTTTTCCTGACTCCTCCCTTGGAAACCCCATAAAACAGGAACAGGGACTGCTTGGAAACTTCACTTGAGCCTTCCCCTAGAGATACAAAGCAACAACTTCAGATTCTTCTGACCCAGTGTGTAAGAAATCAGATGTGTAATCTTATCTCTTTCACTTTGTTGTAAACATTCCCAAAAATCATAAAGAATGTTTACTAATACGGGTGCTCAATAATTTATCCTCAGTGAACTGTGTCTGTCTTCGGTAATGGTCCTGCCTGAATCATATCTAACAAATGAAAATTTTATTTTATGGAAGACAAAAATGTGATGTGCAAAGCTATAGAAACTAGTTTTCATTCTGTTTGGTGAACTTTGTTTTATGAATTCACATCAATCTTCTGTGAATGAGCTCCTTGGACAGTTAAGAAAAATGCTGCCCTCACCAGAATACTGGCACTCACATAATCTAGTATCGTTTCTAGCTCAACTGTTTTTGAAGGAGTTTGTATCATTTTCTATCTGAGAATATAAAAAGTTGAGGTTTCAAAACAGTACTAAGCCAAAGTAGAACCCAGATTGTTTATGACATTTCTTCCCAAATAGTTATCAAGATATGATACACAAGTTCATTTAGCCTTTTTATAGTATTTTTAAGTATTGTGTTATATTTCAATAATAATTTTTTAGTATTGTGTTATATTTTAAGTAATAAATTTTTAAATATACAATGTAACCTTGGTATCCAAATTGCACTGAATATATTTCAAATCATAAAATAATATTTTTGTGGTGGTGCTTTATAATTTTTCTTTGTACCCCTAACACCTTGAAATGTCTGGTATGTATAGGCACTCAATAAATATTTGTTGACTGGGATGAGTATTTACTAAAATAAGTACCTATACTTTAAAGGAGAAAAATCTCATGAAACTCAAGGTAAATTAGATTAAAATTATAGGTGTGCCTAATTCAGGCCTCTTTTTCCTGTTGTGTGAAAAAGCTACTCAATGTAAAGAAGCAGCCTGACCTGAGTATAAGTTGAACATGTGATGTTTGGTTCCTGTATATAGCTGTCACTTGTCCAAAGTTGAACTGGAATCTGATCACAAGCTCACAGATCACATTCTTTTGGACCGTGTGTATTTTCTTCTGTAGTTACTTAATTTCAAGATTTGTCACCAGGCTGTAAACCCATCATATTTATACCCAAACTATACTTGTTGCTAGGAACCTGGCTAAGCACAACTTTATAAAAAAGAAAGAAAGGAAGGAAAGGAAAGGAAGAAAAAGGAGCTACACTGAAAATAACCCCACTCCATTTTGGGAAGCCATCTTCGAAACAAGTTTTCCTTGTGCTTACCTCATCTACTCAACAAAAATAGTGGTGGAGCTGTCTTCCTCCCTCTTGGATTCTTGCATGATAATTCTGCATCTGGAATTCAGGCCCAGCCGTTCAATGTGGATAACCTGTTGCAATCTTGATTTGATTCTCTTGAATTCTGGAATCTCTGGTGGAGCACACAGTGTTCGGTGTTGAGTAACACAGGACGGCGAGTACAGTGCAAAGCATTAGACACAGCCCACCTAGGGAACAACCTTCGTTAGCCCTGCAGTGACTCTAGTAGCAAAAGCTTGGTATTCCTCATGCTGTTTTCAATGCATTTTCATGATGTCCCTCCCCCTCCCCATACCCCAAGTCCGTTTTAGTTGTATTAGAGCACTCATTCACTAAAAATTCATATTCAACATTTGTTTTAAATGACAACACATTCATATATATTGTTTCACTTTAAAATATTTATGATATCCCTATGAAAGTGGTTTTGTTAACTGCGTTTTAAGATGAAGAAATTAAGGATGAGAGAGGGTAAATAACTTTTCAAAAGAAATTGAAATAGTGAAGAGAATCAAATCCAGATATTTTGATGAAGTATAACTGCCCAGTAAGTGGTAGTCATTATATGTTTGGTTCTGTTATATACATTTCTTACTGTGTTATGTAATTTAATCTTCAGAAACATTCCAGTCAAGATAGTATTTTTTTTTAAGGTTTTGTTTATTTATTTGACAGAGAGATACAGCCAGAGAGGGAACACAAGCAGGGAGAGTGGGAGAGAGAGAAGCATGCTTCCCGCCCAGAGGGAGCCCGATGCGGGGCTTGATTCCAGGACCCTAGGATCATAACCTGAGCTGAAGGCAGAGGCTCAACAACTGTGCCACCCAAGCGCCCCTTATTCGGTTTTAAGATTTTTTTTTTTTTTTTGACAGACAGAGATCACAAGCAGGTGCAGAGAGAGGAGGAAACAGGCTTCCCGCTGAGCAGAGAGCCTGATGTGGGTCTTGATCCCAGAACCCTGGGATCACAACCTGAGCTGAAGGCAGAGGCTTTAACCCACTGAGCCATTCAGGCGCCCCTTTATTCGGTTTATAGATAGGGAAACTGGAGCACAAAGCAATTAAATACTTTGCCTAAAATTATATAGTTAGTGCCCGAACCCAGGTTCCAGAGCCCATCTGATTCCAGAGCCTGTGCTCTCAACCATACTTTGCTGTTCTACCTCCCATGTCTGAGGTTCCTTGTACTATACAATGCTGCTTTTCTGGATACATTGGCAAGGAGAGGGTGTCAGAGCCTTTGGGAGACTGAGTGGAAAGGGAAGATGGTTTATGGCAGCCTTAAGGAGAGAAAGTGGCGGGGGTCTGGAGTAGATTACAGTTGTCCAGAGGGGTGGTGTGATAGAGACACTATTTCCCAATTGGTGTTCAATAAATATACATAAACCTCAGAGGTCTTCAGCAACCAGCAATAGTTCTTGGCATTAGAAATTATTTTTGGAGTTGAGTAGGATGCTGTGACCTTGGGGTGAAACCTGCCAATCACAAGTCAGTAGCAATCACCTGGATTTTTTAGACAATGGCCATTTTTGAAATAGCAATACAAGGAGCTCAGTCAGTAAGTTTTCTTTATTAATTGCATAAGGACCTGACTAACCACCTGTCTGATACAGCTACAGAGCACATGCATTAGACTGATAGTTAAATGATAGAAATTCCTTCATTCTAACATGCCAGAATTTAAAGTTTAGGGCTTTATCTTTGTGCTGAAAGAGTTAATCAAGAACTGCTTCCTACAATAGCAGGAATTAACCTTTGGACTATTTCTTCTCTTGCAGTAGCACTTGTACCATGGGCTTAGTCCTGCCCCTCTGGAGTGACACCCTAATTCATTTGGATGGTGATGGGTAAGAGCTTTCCCTTTTTATTCTCCTTATAGAAGGCCAAGGGGTGGGGTTCCATCTTAGTGCCCATTCATTAAGCTCAGTGGGAGGCCCATTGTGCCCAAGTAAACTGTCATGTCAGCAACTCAGTGAGTCCTGTTTTTGTAAAGTGGAGTTAAAAATACCACTTGCCAGGGCCTCTCACTTCTCTTCTTCTAGGGCCTCTCACTTCTCTTCTTCTAGGCTGACTACGGTAAGAATCCAAACAAAGAAAAACTAGTTTGTTGGCTCACTCTTTAATCTGAGCATGTGGGACTGTTGAAATGCTCTCCCAGAGGATGATATGTTCTGTTTCAAATAACCTCATGCCGCCTCTGCCAGCTGTCAGCCTACAGTATAACCCCTTTCTTGTGCCAATTCCTTCCAGTGACCCTCCACCCCCACCTCCTGGTGTTTTTAGAATGTGTCCCCAAGAGACCAAGATGTTTGCTCCAGTTTATAAAACCAGGGTCAGGTTTGCTAAGAACCCACAAGACTTCCAAACAGAAATATATAGCAGAACAGTGTGTCTGCAACTACAGCTGGGAAACTATATAATTCCCTAACTCTAGTGTGGGAGTCCATTCATTTTGCTTGGTAGATAAAATCAGACAATTTGTTGAAGCTTTTCAGTCAAGCCCTATACTCTTAACTTCTGCATAAAGTGTCTGATGATTTCTTCTATTGAGCCAGCAGTTACTAGTCTGAGAAATAACCTTGAAAACTCAGAACTGAAGTAACCTACTCTCATTTGTGGATTTTTATCTCATTCTTTCTTTTTTTTTTTTTTCCCCCTTAGTGGGTTCAGTGTATCAACGGATAACAGAGTGCACATATTCAAACCTGTATCTGTACAGGCAATGTGGTAAGAGGACTTTTAATGTCTCTATGAAAGGTTTTTTTCCTATGAAAGTTTTAAATATATTATTGGGGCAATATTTTGTGAGTAGTAGTATTTGAAATAGTACAGTTCTCTATGAAAATGCTGTATGACCTGTTTATGTGTTTAAGATTTTGTGTGATCTGTGTGGCCCTCATAGTTAAAGATGTCCTGGAAATTCAAGTTATTTCAAATTATCATAGTGGAAGACCTTAAGGCTTGGTGAACAAGTGAGACTCAGAGGTGTTAATGAATCAGATTGCTGGCTGGAACAATTTTATAGGGACACATTGACTAAGTTAGCCCCAGTCTAGAGCCAAATCTAGAACATCACACTACTACAGTGCATTAGTGTTCAATTTCTTAGGGTAATCAAAGATATTATTGATAGATAAGTTTCCGTTAAAATTGCTAATGACTGCAAGACTGCATAATGCAAATAAAGCCTAAACATTATAGATGTTAATAATCACGAGCTGGTGTGCTAACACTTTGTGGCTACTTAACTATGTGTCAGATATTGTGCATTACATGGATTATATCTAATCATTACACCAACTCCCTCAAAATAATATTATTAGCTCCTTATCAGTGATGAGAAAGCTAAAGTTTTGGAGAGGTTACCTACCAGGCCTGAGAACATCTTTTCCATTTAGGCAGAATAGACTCTTATTCTCTCACTCTAAATTATCTAGAAAAATGATTTAATAATACTGGGGAATGGTGTGACTCTAAGATTCAGAGTCTATCCCTGAATTAAGGATTTGAATTTCAGTTTCTCATTCAGTTGCCTGCTCTGTAGTAGAAGTCCTCATGAGGAGCAGAATGGACAGAACAAAAACCAAACAGGAATAAAGGAGCCTGAAAAAGAGACTCCAGGGAGCTCATTTGCCCTTGAATAATAGGCTTGATAGGCTTGAGATGGGTGCCTCATAAAACAGAGTCAACTGAATTTAAGAATCTTACCATTTCATACAGTAATTGAGGAGGGAAGAATTACAGGTCATGTGTTTAAACCAGATTTTTAGTTTTAGGGCACATTCCACAGATAAATAAAAGTTTTCTCATGGAAAAGTTTTACCTTCCTTGACTAAGGCTCCTTTAAAGGTAACTGACATGTCTATTCCCAGGTACCAAGTAAAACCAAACAGCCTAAGTCCCATAAATGACAGTGTTTTCTGTTACATTTTGAGGAAGAGTACAAAGCATTTTCTTAATTCTTAAGGAAGATTCAAGTAATAAACTGGTTCAATCTTTGATAGTCTAAAGCAAACTGACTAGTCCTACTTCTGTTAGCTTAGCTTATTCAGAATAAACTTTTGGGGGTACCATCTGGAGAGCAGTGAACTTAAAGTCACAGGAAAAAAGATGGTCTATGGATCAAAGTGGCATTTAGACCAGGTGTTTCCTTCACAGGAAGGTAGTTACTGTAGCCTCCAACTCCCATATGCAGCAGAAGTATCTGAGGTAGCTAAGCCTTGAGTGTATTTTAGGGATCTTGCCCCAGACACATGTGGCATGTGCTTTTGAAGCACAGTTTTCCCGGCTAAAGACAGCATGCACTGACTATCCTCTACATTGCACTTAGCTGGACCTTACCTTTAAATCTATGTAATGAAACTGAAATTCACAGAGAATTCTCTGAGAATTTGATAAACTTCTCTGAGAAATTAGCTCACTTTGAGTAATAGAAGGCATCTTAAAAGAATCTGCAACTTTGGTTTTTTTTTTTTTAAGGAAAAATGTTTCCCTGATAGAAATGGACTGAAATGTTTTTCCATTATCAGATTGCTAATTATCTTATGTTTTAATTTACATTATACGGGATTGACAAGGACTCAAGGAACAGACATTGTCATTTGCAGTTGGTGGTAGAATAAACTGGAACAACCTTTCTTGAGAACAATTTGCCAATATGCTTTACCATTTTGCATGCCCTTTTGACCCAGTAATTTTAGTTCTGAGAATTTATCCTAAGGTAATAATTGTGGATATGTGCAAGATTTTTAACTATAAGAATGTTTGTCAGTGTTGTAATAATAGCAAAAAATGGAGAACAATTTAAATATCTGAAAAACAGGAATTAGTTACATTATGGAACTGTTAAAATAATCTAGTTGAAGAATATTGACATAGATGTTGACAAGAAGATGTAAACTAAAATCAAGTTTAAAATGTAGGTAGGGGGCACCTGAATATCTTAGTTTGAGCGTCCAACTCTTGATTTCAGCTCAGGTCATGATCTCAGGGTTGTGAGATCAAGTTCTGTGTCAGTCTCTGCACCCAGTGGGGAGTATGCTTGAGAGTCTCTCTCTCCCTCTGCCACTGCCCTGCTCTCTCTCTCTGAAATAAATAATTAAATCTTTTTTTTTTTAAGATTTTATTTATTTATTTGACAGATAGAGATCACAAGTAGGCAGAGAGGCAGGCAGAGAGAGAGAGGAGGAAGCAGGCTCCCTGCTGAGCAGAGAGCCCGATGCGGGGCTCGATCCCGCGACCCTGGGATCATGACCCGAGCCAAAGGCAGAGGCTTTAACCCACTGAGCCACCCAGGCGCCCCAATAAACAAATCTTTTTAAGAAAGAAATAAAATGTGTATGTAGAATGTGGTCATATCTTTATTATAGATCTATGCATAGACAAAAAGACTGGGAAAATCTCTACTAAAACTTTAAGAGTAGTTATTTCTCAATGGTCAGACTACAGAATATTTCTGCCTTTTACTTAAGGTCCCTAAATTTCCTAAGGTTAGTATGGATCACCTTTGTTATTGGTTGGGGGGGATTAAATGGCATTTTTCAAAGAAAGATGTAAATGGATTGCATATAGAATTCTCTCATAATATCCTCTTCCTGTAGGAGAGAGCCATTAGCTTTTAGCTAATAAGACATTTCATTTAACAAATAGTGACTGTGCTCCAACTATGAACTAGGCATTCTTAATAGGCACTTGAGATACATCCATAAACAAAATGTAGAATGATCCTTGCTCTTATGTAACTAATTTCCTAACATTTCTGGCTTTAGCTTTTCCCAAGTATATAAATGAAAAGGTTCTTCTCAAATAAAAAAAAAGAAAAGCAAAAAAAAAAAAAAAAGGGGGGGGGGGAAGAGGGTGTACTTTCAGTTTAGTTTACCCTTCTTGGGTTCCTGAGTTCATGGTCAGAGATTTAATTAGTATAACCAGAGCTATTCTTAGAAAGTGGCTCAAGTATATGAATAAATGGTTTAAGGAGACTGGGAGACTAAAGCAGCAAGAATGATAAATGTCATTAGATTAGTACTTCTTGGGCATGACAGGACATGTCCTCAAGGCTAAGGGACATCTATCTATGTGATCTTTGTGGACCCTCTAGGAATCATAGGAAATATATACACTGTAAGATGATTCTGTGCCAAGGGAAACAAATATTTATATAGTAAATTGTTGAGATCTTTAGTTCTGTAGTGATACAGCATACCCACAGCGTGGTTTCAACGACAGAATCATGAGCTCCAGAGGTACCCAGACGTATTTTTCACTGGTGGGTTGTCAGTTCTCCTGCCACTGTCTACCCCCATCCCTAATAATGCATCAGCAAGAAGTGTCTAGCCAATTGCTATGAATAGGTAATATAATCAGAATCAGAGAACCTTAAATTCCAGGGAATAGATTCTCCAGAGGCCAAATTCTCTAAGATTTAAAAATTGAAAGAGTTTTGGGTACACATGGATTATTGGCCTTTTGATGTCTCCACAGTTCTACAGTGCTCATTTCCCAGCGTATCTTTCAGGTCTGCACTACAGAGTTTACACAAGGCTTGTGAAGTGGCCAGAATGCATAACTACTACCCAGGCAGCCTGTTTCTCACCTGGGTGAGTTATTACGAGAGCCACATCAACTCAGATCAGTCATCAGTCAATGAATGGAATGCTATGCAGGATGTGCAGTCCCACCGGCCTGACTCTCCAGCTCTCTTCACAGACATGTAAGTCGCTAACTCAGGATCACTGAAGTGTTCTCTGTTATATCCTGGGAGGTTGTAAGCAACACGTTCCTCCCTAATCTCTCCTCTTGGAGAATTAATCTTATCCAGTGATATTAGTCAATGTCTGCACTACACATCTGCCACACAAAGAACCCTATTCTTTCTGTTGTCTGCAAATGCCTAAGGAGTTTCATTCCTGGGCACAATGGAATCTCCATAGTAAAGAATTGCTATACCATAAAATCCCATTCAGATTCCACCAATTTGACATTTGAGTTTAAAGGGAGTTAGGCTGAAGTCTGCCTTTGCATTATCTGTGAAAGAAGCATTTGGTAAGCAAATTAATGACACAGAAGCTTTTTTGTTTTGTTTCATTTTAAGATTCTATTTTTAAGTAATCTCTACACCCAATGTGGGGCTCAAACTTACAACCCCAAGATCAAGGGTCACATGCTGTACTGACTGAGCCAGCCAAGCACCCCGACATATAGAGAAGCTTTTAAAGGGATGTTTCCAATAATTAAAAAAACAAGATGTTTCCAGTCAATTTAAAAGACTGTCTAGGATAGATTCTATGCTAATTTTAAACTGATTTCTGTTCACATATTTTTAAAAAATAATTTATAATTCAAGTGTTTGACTCAGCCCCACCATTGCCTTGTTGGGTCTTTGTCAGTGAGATTTTATTAAATCTCCCTGGTGTACTGTGAGTTGGATAAAGGCCTGAGGTGGAGTTGATGTTTTTTTCCTTTTTAGGTCTATGTGTTGAAATTTATGTGACTATTTTCAAAATTAATCAGGATGTTTATTTTGCTCTGAATTGATCTTTCTACACTTCCAAGGTATTCTATAGCTGGGAAAGAAGAGTAGCTACTTACTATCTGACCATACAAACCTTCACCTTCAGATTCCTAAATGGATACCAAGACAGTTCACTGGTTTGTTGTTGTTGTTGTTGTTGTTGTTGTTGTTTTTTAAGAAAATGCTTAGTTTGGATAACAATGTAAACTTATTTCTAGTAGAAAAGGTGAAATTTCCAAGAATTGTGTGAACAGAGCAAGCAAAAAAGCAGTGGAAGCTTTTTGCAGGGTGTTACTGATACTAGGACCTCCTTTTCATTAGCCCTAGTCCTTTGAAGATCCCACAGTAAAAGATAAGGATTAGTCTGGCTTTCAGAATCTTGGGAAATGTTACTGAGTTCATGCTTTATAGCTGGTTGATGGGTATCAAAGAAATGGATGTCTCATCTGGCTCAAAAATGGACATTCTAAACCAGATTTACATGAGACAGAGAAAACCCTTCTTTTCATTTCTCATGATTTTGTTAAAGAAAATTTAGATATTACATTAGAAAGAAAGAAAACGAAAGGAAATTGGCTATAATCTGTCTCTATCCCTAAGCAACAAGAGTGATGTAAAGAGTAGTCCCTGGCGCATAGTAGAAGCTCATTAAATGTTACCTCTTAGTATGTACCATATAACCCGGATTTTAAGATACATTTACTAACCAAATGTCTGTCACAGAAAAACTGAAAAGCTGTAGGTCATAATATTATAATATTATCATAAAATAATAATATCATAAAATGATAATCTCTGATACAGGGATTTTCAGTGATTTTGTTTTTCTTTGTGTTTTTACATATTTTCCAGATTTTTGTCTAGTGAAATTGAGCAAGAAAATGTATTTGTATTGTAATGTTTTTTCCATTCCTTCCTCCTCCCTAAATTGACTAGAAAAGCCTAAAAAACAATGCTGAGCATACAGGGAAAATGTGTGCCAAAATGGATTTGAGTACTCTACTGCAAATAAAGTTTGTATTTTGAAATACAAGGAAGGGGAAGAGGGAACATAACGTGTATAGTGCCTCCAGTGTATGTCAAATATTATGTCAAGCATTTCATACATGATACCTCATTTAATCCTCATAAGAACCTCATGAGGCAGATATGATTATTATGAGGCGATGTGATTTTTATCCTAATTTTAGGATTAAAATTCCCTTTAGAAAGGGAAACCCACTCAGAGAAGGGAAGAAATTTGTTCAGGGTCATACCACTGGGAAGTAGCAGGACTGTGATTAAAACCCAGGTGTGTCTGCTCCCAAACCACTCTGTCCCAGAGAAGTATTGTGAAAGATTAAGAGAAAGATTGCTAACTAGGGAATCTAACTCATGCACATGGGTGGTAAAATTTGTTTCTATCAGTATTTTTTATTGGAAGACCGAAATGTATCACTTTCTGTCACTAGCTATGTCTAGGGAAAATGGTGAGGAGCATGATTAAGAATTATAGTCCTGTCAAGACAGGGATGCCTTGGCAGATAAGGAAAAGGCACAGGCATTATTTGTATTCTGCAGGGCTCATGAGAAACTATGAGCCCAAGTGGTGGGGAGCCCCAAGGTTGTGAGGTCAGAGCAGCCATCTTTGGAGATTACCAAAGCTATTTTTGCAGCCAGTGATAAGGCGGTAGGCAGCAAGGGCAGGCAGGATGCCTGAAGGCTTAGTCCATTTCCATCTCCAAATAAGGAGGTGCAGAGCAGATACCTTTCTTGAGTAGGTAAGAGGGAAAGATGAGACAGAAAGTCCTTTTTGTCAGCCTCACTCAAATTCTGTGTAATATGAAATAGTGCTTTTAGAGAGAAGCATCCAGTTACAATGAACCAATACCTTTCTAGTAATTGGAGAGTCAACTTCGTAGTTTAATTTCTATTAAAGTTCCAAGGGTAATTTTATTTTTAAGAGTCAGAAGATTAAGGGAAGCAACATAATCCTGCAGGTAGAGTGTTAGGCTGGGCTGAGAATGCTGGTTCTCCTGCCAGTGTATGTGATCTTTGGCATGTCATTTAACCTTTTAGCTGTTTATTTCCTTTATCTGTAAAATGGGGATAACAGTTTCACAGAGATGTTATGAGAGCTTTTATGAAAAGAAACACATTTTAGATGAAAGTACTCTGGGTAGTTAATCCTTAAAAACCCATTTTGGAGTGAATTTGCCTCAATGAAGAAGGCAGAAATCATTCTTTTGTCTTTCCTGTCTCGTAGAACGATAGTAATGAATGGTCAGCATTTGGTGGCATATTAAGCTACTGAAGACCCAGTTCCATCAGTGGGTCATACCACTGTTCTACTCAGCTTGGTAGTCTAGCTCCACGAGTGGTAGTCAGGGATACTTGATGAAACAGTATGGCTGTGATTCTGCGTTAAAGTGGTATACACAGTATAGCTTTTTGTCTTTATTCCTTCATAGATGCATGTGGATATATTTTAAGGGCTTTTAGACATGTACATCCTCTTCAAGTAATAATTTCTACACATTTACATTCTATGCATTGTGAAAAAAAACTTTTTTAAGTATTTTTTTCTTTTTCTTTTACTTTTTTTTGCCATGCCCCCAGAATATTAATGTTTGAGAGTAATAGAGGGAAGGTCTGCCAATTTGGAAGCATAATCAAATGGCACATTCATTAACCTAGTCAAATTCCTGCCTAAGAAAAATCACCATTTCTCTCCTCAGACCAACTGAACGTGAGCGAACAGAGAGATTAATTAAAACCAAATTAAGGGAGATAATGATGCAGAAGGATTTGGAGAATATCACATCCAAAGAGGTAAGAGACCTTGAGTTCTCCTTATTCCAAGGCTAGGAGTGTGGAATAACAGTAGGTATGGAGTTAGAAATCGTGAGTGATTGAAAGCACAGAGATACTTTTCAGAGATTAGTAAAACATGTCCTCCTTGTTTCAGATACGAACTGAGTTGGAAATGCAAATGGTGTGCAACTTACGAGAATTCAAGGAATTTATAGATAATGAAATGATAGTGATCCTTGGTCAAATGGATAGCCCTACCCAGATATTTGAGCACGTTTTCTTGGTAAGTCTTAGAGCCACTCACAGTGCTGTGCTGAACCTAGTCCATACCAGCTCTGGAGGAGCAACTGTTAAATTTTAGTATATTTAAAATAAAATGTAACTTAAAGACAAAGGTAGTAAGTATTCAAACCTCATCACTTCCTAGTTTTTTACTACATTTAACTGTTATCTGTGCTCTTAGGTTATTCACATGTATTATATGGTGGAAATGTTAGATAATGGTATGCTTCTGCTCATATCTTCCCAATTCCTCATTTGGTGATGTCAAGCTGGTAGATTAAAATTGACTAGTGGGAAAATTTACACCAAGGAAGTAGGCAAATGCTACAAATCAGGCCCTTCCCCTCCACCATGGATTGTTAAATATCTCATCTGTTCTTCATGACAGTCAAAAGTCAAAAGCAGACCAGTTCACAATAGTTTTTTTTTTTTTTAAGATTTTATTTATTTATTTGACAAGACAGAGATTACAAGTAGGCAGAGGCAGGCAGAGAGAGAGGAGGAAACAGGCTCCCTGCTGAGCAGAGAGCTCAATGCAGAGCTCGATTCCAGGACCCTGAGATCATGACCTGAGCAGAAGGCAGAGGCTTAACCCACTGAGCCACCCAGGCACCCCCGCAATAGTTGTACACAGTGTATACAAATAGAATGATACTTTGAGGTCATTCTTCCAGATTTGCCAAATTTGGCTTAAGTCTTATATATCTGAGTAGAGCAGGTGGGAACTACTTATGACTGAGAGACTATTGGACTTTTAAACATTTGGAACTTTATAGCTAGCTACATTTTGAGTCCCTCAAATATTTTTGTGTTTGCTAAAATTTCAGTGACTTAAAATTGTTCTTCATGGTTTCCGAACATTCAGTGACCTGAAATTAGCCCAAGGACACCTTTCTAACTAATGGATTAGGAAAGCTTCTAAAATCCCATTTTTCTCCCAAATATTAAAGAGTTTTAGTTTCCATCTGTACATGGTAGTAGGAATAAGGTTAAAAAAGATAATTAAAATCAGTGGGAATGTCAGAACTTTGTTTTGCTTCCACTTCCCACACACTTTGACCAAAAATGCTAACAAGGAAATAAATTGATTGGTTTGAATTTCGCTTCCTTTCTCTGGTGAGGACATTTGTGAAATGATAAGAAGCTGAGAAACAGGAAACAAGAGGAATAAATACACAGGAACTGACTAAATTGGATCATCTTACCCCTGAATATTCAAGAGTTTGTATCACCAGACAGTCAGATTTTATGCCATTGAAGCCTTGTGCCCTGAATTAACTTTATGACAGTCTCGAGTATGTGTACTTGCACAGTGATTCATAGCGCTGTATAGCTATGAAATTACTCATGAAAAGCCGTGAGCTGGAAAGGGAACTTTTTTTTCCATTACTTTAACTTGACCAATGTGTGTTGCCGTTTCTGGGTGTAGATCATAATGCAAAACTATCATTGCCCTTTCCATTTGTAAAGCACTTGGCTTCGGTGTCTTCTGCGTCTACCTCCACAAGGGTTCAAGTATTCCCTGCTGGTGTATTGTTGGAAAGAATTTTTTGTGTTATCTATAGAAAACTTATGAGTCACTCATTCAAATGGACCCTGCCCCCAACTGTGTCTGTGTAACATGACTAATTTTTATGAAGGGCAAGTGCCTGTAGCCAAAAATAGCTCATGTTAGAAAATGATCAGAGCTATAAACTCGGAAGTCACTTTTGCATTAGCTTGTATTTTAACACCAAAAAGATGTGGACATGATGAATATTAAATACAGTTACTGTCAGACTGTTCAATCTGTTTAATTTTGGGCTTACTTCCCCATGTCTCTGGTACCACCCCCCTCAAGAACTACCTTCTTTCTTCCTCCTGAAATGATGTAATTTAGAACATATAGAGAAATTTTAGTGGTACTCTTAGCAGAAAAAACAGTCCGCTTCTCCCCAGATTAGTCTCTAATCAACTACAAATTAATTTGAGTATGTGTACCAGTATATTCATCCTAATATTTCATAATTGTTGGCATAGTCTTCTGTCTTGGCTTTTTTACTTATTACAAAAATAATTCATGTTCATTATAGAAAGCTTAGACAATTTAATTTTTTTAGTGAGCTACATGAGGTCCATTCCTTTCTATTTATTTTTTGATTGAAGCATAATTAACATACAATGTTATATTAGTTCCAGGTGTGCAACGTAACGATTCAACAATTTTATACATTACTCAGTGCTCACCACAGTAAGTGTAGTCACCATCTGTCACCATACAATGTTATCACAACATTATTGACTATATTCCCTATCCTGTACGCTTCCATCTCTGTAATATATTAATTTTATGACTGGAAGCTTATAACTCTTAATCCCCCCCACCCAGCTTTCCTCTGGCAGCCACCAATTTGTTCTCTGTATAGAGTCAGATTTTACTTGTTGATTTTTTATATTTCACCTATAAGTGAAATGATATTGTATTTTTCTTTCTCTGACCTATTTCACTTAGCATGATTCTTGGCATATTCTTCTGTGTTGGGTTATTTATTACAAAAATAATTCATGTTCATTGTAGAAAGCTTAGTTTCAAAAGACGGTAACATTTAATCATCAGCAAAAGAGATAAACAGTGATACCTTTTGTTATATAATATGCTAGTCTTACTTTTTTAACATGTGCCTCTATATTTTTGAAAAAGGGAAATCCTACTCCGCTTCAGATATAGTTCTCTTTTTTAGAGAATAGATATGTTCTTTCCATTGTGAATATTTTTCTTATTTGGGAAAAACTTGCAAACTGGAGAATTCTGAAATTTAACTCTTATCCAACAAAGTGAGTGCATGAACTCAATGGCTTCCCCCTTTGTTTGCACCACCATATCCTATATCCAAACCCCTATCTCTTCCCTCCGTGAGTCTGTGCTCTGCTGGCTTTCCTAGCAATTGACACGGAAAAAGAGGTCTTATTCAAGCTACAAGCAGTGGTGTTAATTTTCTGCAAAGTCATTTCATCTTGTGTGTAGCTGCCATGCCTGGAGTGCAAGCAGATTGTGTGAAGGGAGGCAGCAGGATTTTTTCCCCTTCCTTTAGAAGAATGCTCAGCTCTGCAGTGCAGTGCACAGAGATGTTTATTTAAAAAGGTGTCCAGCTGGTATGGAGAAGAAAAGTATAAAGCATAGTTTCAAGAAAATCCGCAGCAAGAAGAGAGGAATGATTGGTTGGAAGCCAGGGTATTTCCAGAAGAAGTTCTTCCACACCCTTAAGAGTGTACCACTTCTCTGAGCTGGAAGCCTTTGCCCAACCAAGTCTCAATATCAACAGTTCTCCTGGAGGTTGTCCAGTTTGGCTGAGAAAAAGCCAAATGTGAACAGAGACCCTTTGCTGAAAGGCAGGCAGCTTTCTTAGTAGAACAAGGGAAACACAGGAATATTGGACACAGCCAGTAATTTTGTTCATGAATAAAAACGAGTCGATTTTTATTGCTGATGGTCATCTTTTTTAATATTTTTACATTACAGAATAATGTTTCCTTTTCAAAGAAAAATTAAGCCTCAAATTGGTGGTTACTTCTGTAGGTGCAGAGAACTAAAGGATATGTGAATAGATGAGACTTAAATCAAATGGGTTATTTTAATTAGTCATGATTCTGTCCATCAGCTGGAGATGTGTAGCATGAACTTTTCTCAGAAGGAAAAATTAACAGAACTCTTATTCCTGGTTGCCTTCATAATGTGACTCAGTATTGCGGCTGTAAGTATGGTAAGTTGAAGAAGATTTGGACAAGGCACCAGCCCTTGGAGATTATATCAGGTTATATTGATCCTAGCAGAACCTGAATACAGTCCTCCTTATTTGCTATGAATGTGCTCTCTTCTCTTTTGCTTGGAGCATTTGGACCCTCACAAGGCTATTTCTAAGGATAGTATTTGAAAAGAAATTAGTCATTGGGGGTGCCTAACTGGCTCTGTCAGTGGAGCATGCGACTCTTCATCTCAGGATCATGAGTTCAAGCTCCACATTGGGCATGGAGCCTACTTAAAAAATTTAAAAAAGAAAGAAAGAAATTAGTCACTTGGGCCTCTGGGCTATGGCACAGTGTAGGGGAACCAGAGTGAAAGATGGAAATGAACTTACTTAAAAATGTATTATAGTCCCAAGATTTCATTTTATACTTTAGTAAGATTTGAATGTGCTTTGCATAATTATATAGAACATAGTGAAAAACCCCATGGAAATGTGTCACTGTAAGCCTGAGAAGCATGGGGGGGGGGGGAAGAATCTTTGGAGGGCTTCAGGGGGCTAATATGCATAGTATTTATATTGAGGGCAGAAAAGTAATTACACCATGTTGACTGCAGTTCTTCCTTTCAGGTTGAACCCAAGCACAGTCCCAAGTCATGTTATATGGACTTCACTGAGTCAGTAGCCAAAGCTTTTCATTTATTTTGTTTCTGGATATGTGCCATTTCAGATTGTCTGGTTGAATTTTCTCTGGACAGGTAGATGAAAACCATGAACTTTTCCCATCATGTAAGGGTTATTTCCATCTAGCTGGACAAAGTTCCACAGAGGATTTAGACTTCTAAATTAAGAGGTGAAGTGGTCACATTTCCCTGGCTACCATTTAGCCTCTCAACCCTTATTGCTTGTCTTCTGTCTCCTTGAAGTTCTTTACAGTTCTTACCTCTTTCTTTGGTGTGGCAGCTTGTTTTCAAAGGTTAATAAGCACAGAGTCTTCAGAACCTCCCTATTTTTTTGAAAGCAACTCAGCTGAGCTCTCAGGTCTGTAGAAAAGATCAGTTGCCCATCAGTTACTGTCCTTTTCCTGAATGGAACTTCACAGCATCCTTGATGTGTATCTCTCAGTTCAACAGCCAAATTAAATAACATATCACTTGTCTTGTGATGGTAATGCTTACATAACATTTACAGTTTTCAGAGTGCTTCATTTGCTGATCTTATTTGATCATTCACTCAATAAACATTTGTTGACTCTTTTTTTATGCCAGGTGTGAGGCTAGATACTTGTCCAGTCTGATCTGTTTCTATAAGGAGAGAGTAATGAACCATATCAGATAGATATTCATGGAAGGCCAGGGGATAAGCCATGGAAGACCCCCGGAGTAGATAATTAGAAGTGGTCATTAGTAACACTAGCAAGAGTAATGAGGGCAGAAATCACAGTGCTGCTGTAAGTTGAAACATATGAGAAATGAGAAATCAGAGGAAGTAATAGATTTTATTTCTATGAATATTAGGAAGGGAAGGGAAGGAATGTCTAGAAGAAATGTCTAGAAGAGAATTCAGGATAGAAAGAAGGTTTTGCACTTTAATATGGGAGAAACTGGATTTTTTTTTTTTTTTTTGGTCGGGGGTTGGGAGTTGGGATGGGGACTTATAAACAAACTTATTTCTCATAGTTCTGTAGGCTAAAATCTGAGATCAGGGTGCCTGCATGGTCAGGTGAGGACCATATTCTGGGTCATAGACTTCTTTGTATTCTCACATGGCTGAAAGGATCAGGAAAACTTCCTATTTGTGATTTGAGAAGGTACCCATTTAGGTATATAGGACTAGGGTGGGAGGAGTGTCCATTTTACAGGTAAGGAGAGCAAAGACAGAGAGGTTAAGCAATTTGCCCAGTGCCCCACAGCAGTGTGGAAAGTTGGGATTTGAACCTGAGTCTTCTAATGCTAAATTCCATTTAATGCATAATTCTAAAATAGATAAATTCCTACTTTTAAATGTTTGCCTTTTCAAAAGAGATGAACAGATAGTCCAAAGATAGAAAATGGACCTGAGGGGCGCCTGGGTGGCTCAGTTGTTAAGCGTCTGCCTTCGGCTCAGGTCGTGATCCCGGGGTGCTGGGATGGAGCCCTGCATCGGGCTCCCTGCTCAGCAGAAGGCCTGCTTCTCCCTCTCCCACTCCTCCTGCTTGTGTTCCCTCTCTCACTGTCAAATAATTTGTCTCTCTGTCAAATAAATAAATAAAATCTTTTTTTTTAAGTGGAAAAAAAAATGGACCTAAAGCAATGAAAAGTGGTTAACTTTTACTTTTAAGAGAAATGCAAATTGAAATTACACTGACATACATTTCATACCTATCAGATTGGCAAAAATTCAGAAGCTTAACCACACATTTTGTTGGCAAAGCTGTGGGGAAAGTGACACTTTCATGCATTGTTGGTGGGAATGCAGAATTGTTTCAGCCTGTATGGAGGGGAATTTAGCAATGTCTAACAAAACTATGCATTGGCCCTTCACGCAGCAACCTCACTTCCACAAACATGAAATAACATTCATAGGAGACTAATTGAATAAACTATTCTATCACTATCCAATGAAGTGTTATATAAGTGTAAGAAAGAATAGGGAAGATCTCTGTGAACTGTGATAATGGAGTGGTTCTGAGGACAATTGTAAAGTGAAGCAAGTTAAGAACAAAAGTATTGTAGTATACTACTTTTATGTAAGAAGTGGTAATAAGGATATATTTGTTGTTGTTGTTTTCAAAATAGAACATAGATAGAGTAAGCCAGAAACTAATGAAAATGGTTACCCTTGGAGATTAAAGAGATTGAAGTGAACTGAGTGAGACTTCAAGTTTACTTTTTAATAAACTTTTGACTTTCAATCTTATGAAAGTTTTGCATATTCAAAATCAGATGGAAAAAACACACCCTAAAGTTGATTGCAAACAGGAGCAAGTGAACCCAAATATATAGCAAATGGATAACTTCACAGAAGGAAATTAATTTGGGGTACCTGGGTGGCTCAGTAGGTTAAGCGTCTTGATTTCACTATGGGTCATAATTTCTCGGTCCTGGGTCCTCCGCGTGGGGCTCCCTACTCAAGTGAGGAGGAGTCTGCTCCTCTCTCTCTGTGCTGTCTCTCGCTCTCACCCTCTCTTAAGTAAATAAATAAAATCTTTTTTTAAAATTATTTTAAAAATAAAATAATTACTTTAAAAAGAAAGAAATTAATTCAAATAAGTTTTGAGCATAATATTCTGAATGAACCTCTTCATAGGAAGAGAAAAGAACTGCAAAGAAAATTTGAACTTGATAGATTTGTATTTGGTTATGATATTGGTGTAGTAATGTTGAAGTTATTTTGTAAATAGAGTTAATGAGTTGTTGGAAACCAAGGTTATCATTGTGAAATAGATAAAATTGATGACAAAGGGGCAGGAAAGAAAGGGAGAACCTTGTGGTGTTAACTTTGAATTGGAGGTACCTGTGTAAATTCAATTTTTTAAAAAGATTTTATTCATTTATTTGAGAGAGAGCATGAGCAAGGAGAAGGTCAGAGGGAAAAGCAGACTCCCGGTGGAGTTAAGAGCCCAATGCGGGACTCGATCCCGGGACTCCAGAATCATGACCTGAGATGAAGGCAGTTGCTTAACCAACTGAGCCACCTGGGTATCCTCAATTTTTTTCAGTAGGCTCCACACCTAGCGTGGAGCCCAAGGCGGGGCCGGGGGGGTGGTGCTCAAACTTGTGACCCTGAGGTCAAGAACTGAGCTTAGACTAAGAATTGGGTGCTCAACTGACTGAGCCACCTGGTACTCCTGTAAATTCAATATTTTTAAAAAAATATTTCCTGATCTGTCCACTGAAATTTGGAAGCAATAACACCCAATATTTATAAGCATATCTAATTAATGTCCAGGTTTTTATTGCAAAATATCATTCTTTGCTAAAAGAAACCAGGGCTCCTTGGAGAAATCACTAATTCCACTCACAAAGTAAATCTGGAACAATTTCTTATGCCAGAAAGCAAAGAAATACTCAGAAACTAGCCGGGTCATATCAAAAAGAGCTTGCCTGCTTGAAGAGAATTCCCACTGATCAAATTCAGGACAATTTGAGTGTCAGAAAAAAAAAATGGTGATGGATTGTATAACATTTTAAATACAAAAAGAATTCAAGAACTCATAGTGGCATTCAGAGTGGAAGGAATGACTAGGTGAAACTCTCTTTTACAAAGAAGAATGCCAGCTCCCATGCAGAAGGAATAATAGAATTAGAAAACCACCATTTTGTCAACGTCCAGTAAGATAAATTTTTTGGACAAGGTCAGCAGTTAATGCTAAAACCATAAGGTAAAAGATGTTTGTGAAACAGGATATTCACCTGACTTTAAAGATTACTAATACCTAAAGATTACTAATTAATTGTAAAGAAACCTTTACAGTACAGTAGTGGGATGTGGCAGATACAAAGGTACCTACCAAGAATTCAGGTTCAACCTGGCAAACAATGAGACAAACGGACGTTATGTGCCTCAAGATTTGATGCCATAGGAAATACACAATACCAGTGTTGTATTATTCTCGACAAGAATTTTGATCTGAATCTAATTATCAGGAAGCAAATCCGACAAATCCAGATTGTGAGGAGTTCTCCAAGATTACAAACCTGTAGTCTACAAAAATGTCAATATCATGAAAACCAAAATAAATAAAGTTGGAGTAAACTGTCTAAGACCAGACTGAATGAGAAAGAGACATGGGGGGTGCGCCTGGGTGGCTCAGTGGGTTAAAGCCTCTGCCTTCAGCTCAGGTCTTGGTCCCAGGGTCCTGGGATCGAGCCCCGCATTGGGCTCTTGGCTCAGCAGGGAGCCTGCTTCCCCCTCTCTGCCTACTTGTAATCTCTGTCTGTCAAATAAATAAATAATAAATAAAATCTTAAAAAAAAAAAAAAGGGAAGAAAGAGACATGGCAACTAAATGCAAAGTATGATTTTTTTTTTTTAGATTTTTATTTGTTTATTTGAGAGAGAGAGCGCATAATCTGGGGGAGACACCTTTCCAGCATGTGATCTTGAGCAGAAATTATTTGAATTATATGAGGGCTGGTTTTCTGATCTGTAAAAATTAAGCTTACTTTTTTGCCCTATCATTTGTGAAAATTAAATGTGGTCATGTATAAAGTACTGGACCTATAGAAGGGAACCATGATAGATGTTGTTGGTTCTGCTTCTTCCCGTATAGGACTCCTTTTCGAGTATTGTATTTTGTTCATTTGCTAATACTCCCTAACCTTGTTTTCCGTTGTTGTTGTTGTTGCACAGGGCTCAGAATGGAATGCCTCTAATCTAGAGGATTTACAGAACCGAGGGTAAGCACACATAGCAATTGCTTTTATCCCCTTGATATAAATCACTGTTCTTTTTTCCTTTTTCCTGTCAAATAGGTGTCCGTGAGTAACTTTAAGCCTAAGAGTTGCTTCCATTTGATTCTAATCAGGTGTAATCTAATAAAAAGTTAAGTGGGCATTCTCCCACTCTTTCATCCTCCCCCACACACATCTCCCAGAAAGAGCACTGTTTCAGAGGAAAGGCTTTCCAAAATAAATGTGCATGCCTTTCCTGCTCTTTAAAACAAATGTAGTTATTGGTTGCTTTTGTTTGTTTTTAGAACAATTTAAGGTGCACAGTAAAATTGAGCAGAAGGTACAGAGATTTCCCATATACCTCTGCCCCCACACATGCATAGCCTCCCCTATTATCACCGTCCCTGCCAGAGTGGTGCATTTGTTAGAACAGATGACCCTACACTGATACGCATGTCGTAATCATGCAAAGTCCATATTTACATTACAGTTCACTGTCGGTATTGTAGATTCTGTGGCTTTGGACAAATGTGTAGTATCATGCATCCATCATTATGGTATCATACAGAGTATTTTCACTGTCTTAAAAATCCTGTGTTCTGCCCATTTATTCTCACCCCCACCCCCTGGCAACCACTGATCTTTTCACTGCCTCCACAGTTTTGCCTTTGGTTCCTATTTCCTTGTAAGAGTACACAGATCTGCATATGTCAGGTTCACAGTTATTCCCTCAACATTTACTGACCATCTTCTGTGGGTCAGGTTCAATGCTAGATACTAGGGATCCAAAGAAAAATAAGACTCAAGTCTGCATCCTTTTTTAGTAAGGTGCTTGAAATCTAAGTAGGTTATAAATGTAAAATGGACAAGCTTCTGAAATTGAACAAGAATACCTACTTTGTATTAAGAAATATGCCCCTAAGCAGCATGGTTATTGAGTTTGATTGTAGCTGTTGAGAACACCATCAACGTTCAGCAAGCAAAAAGCTGCCATTCCTCTTCCCTTTTGACTTCTTAGCTAATGCCTAAATTTTTCATTGAACTTGGCCATGCTAACTCTTAGTTGTGCCCAGGAATAAGACCTACTGACACCCAGAAGTAGGGATGGCTAGTTCCTGGCTGCCTGTTTTCCCAGCTATAAGCCAGCCTTCTGGGTATCTTTAGCATAATTAGTTGCATACTCCCTACTTTTCCTTCAAAAGAAAGGTATGTCATAATTGCTAAAATGAACCTGGAACAAGACTTAAGCCAGAGACTTATACAAAGAGTTCTTGGAGTGGAGAAGTGGGGAGTGAATCTGGTTACTTAATTTAAGATATGAAAATAAATAGAACTTGGAAACTTTAAATTGATTAGGATTGAGTCTAGAGTTCTTGAAAATAGAGACTGTATCTTGGTTTTACATAAAACATATATCTACTTAGCTCAAAGCTTTATACCAAGAGGGTACTCAGTAAATGTGAAGGGACGATAGAAAAATTGACCGTGACTTGCCAGAAATTAGCATGTAGATACAGTGTTTAACATGAAATCTGAGCTTTGATATAGCCAGTGCTTGCCAAATGTATTGAAATTACATTGTGCACATAGACACTTTGACTTATAACACACACACACACACCCCGCTGGAGATGATACCTGTTCATCTCATTTACTATTTATAATGCTAAGTTATAAAACACAGATGTATTTGTCTTAAAAGACAGTATAGGTAGATGGTCAGACATCTACTTAGATCTTGTTTCATAAATTCATTGGTTCTTAAAATCTTGTGGATTAAGAATTACAGTTACAAAACATGTATACTGCCCCTTTTGGATTTAGGGGATGATTTTGGGATTTTCAGGTATAATTTTGGCAATAAGGCCATTTTCACCCAGTCTACTAACCAGAACCCCAAGTAAAGTGCCACTCCATATAGAGATGTCAAAGAAGTTTCAAGGCGTGCTAATTTTTTTTTATTTAGTTTTATTTTTCAGTGTTCCAAGATTCATTGTTTATGCACCACACCCAAAGCCCCATGCAATACGTGCCCTCCTTAATGCCCACCACCAGGCTCACCCATCCCCCAACCCCTCTCCCCTCCAAAACCCTCAGTTTGTTTCTCAGAGCCCACAGTCTCTCCTGGTTCATCTCCCCATCCGATTTCCCCCAACTCACTTCTCCTCCTTCTTCCAATGTCCTCCGTGTCATTCCTTATGTTCCACAAATAAGAGAAACCCTATGATAATTGACTCTCTCTGCTTGACTTATTTCACTCGGTATAATCTCCTCCAGTCCCATCCATGTTGATACAAAAGTTGGGTATTCATCCTTTCTGATGGAGGCATGATATTGTATATATGGACCATGTCTTCTTTATCCATTCAAAGGAGTGCTAATTTCAATTGGTAGTGACTGCCTTGGGGTTCTGTAATGAATAGGATTGGGAAGCCTTGTTCTATCATAATTCATTAGTGAAGTATGGGATTAGAGGTGGGAAGTTATTCATTTTTATTTTAATTAAGAGAAGTGTGCTTTCCTTTTGACAGTTTCATTGAGATATAATTCACATATAGTTCACCCACTTCAAATGTACACTTTAATGATATTTATTATTTTTAGAGAATTATGCAATAATTAATTAGAACACTTTTTCAGCCAAAAAGAAAATTCTATACCCTTTCAGAGTCACCCCCATTTCCCTTCTGCCCCAGCTTCTAGAAACTACTAATCTGCTTCCTGTATCTATAGATTTTCCTATTCCAGACATTTCATTTAAATGGAATCATATAATATGTGCACTTTTAAGAAGAGTTTCTTTTACTTTATATTTTCAAGATTTATCAGTGTTGTAGCATGTGTTATTACTGCATTCCTTTTTTTTTTAATTGCCGAATAATGTTATTTTGTTTGGAAATAACACTTTTTATTTATTCATTCATCAGTTGGTGGACATTTGATTTGTTTCCACTTTCTAGCTATTATGATTACTGCTGTGACCATTCATGTACAAATTTGGGGGTAAATTTATTTTTCATTTCTCTTGGGTTTATACCTAGGAGAGGAATATTCTGGGTCATAGAGTTACTCCATGTACTGTTTTCCACAATTGCATGTGCTTGCTTTTTAAGTTAAAAAGAAAAAAAAAATCCTTTCTAGTAATGGACTTTGATGCAAAGTTAAAACATTCAAATCATGTTTCAGAAAAATTTTGGTCTCTTGACCTTAACCACAAGATGGATCAACTCTGACTCTCCCTATCTGTAGTCATTTCTCTGACTTCAGAGACTGGGTTTGTAAGATCTCTATGTGTAGTTCCACAAAGGAAGCAGCTTCTGCAGAGCAAAATAAGTGAGTCCGTGTTGTGTTGTTGGAGTAAACTCCAGTGACGTCCAAGTCCACACAGCACTGAGAAAAGATAACCATTTGGCAAATTAAGCCTAAGCATTTACTGAAATTGTACAGTGAGAGAGACAGCAGAAGATATTTGTGATACAGAAAGCCTTCTCTATAAGCCTCTGGGTTATGCGAGAACTCTCAGACACATCTGCTGTGACAGCCAGAACTGCAGCCGAGAGAGTTACGAGCGTTTTAAGTCAAACTTAACTCTGACCCTCCCAGCCCTCGTCTCCTTTGCCTTTCTTGTAGTTTACAGAGAGTAACAGAGCAAAATCTAGCATTTAGAAAGAGAGGAGGGAATATTCCCCTTCCCTCTTTTGTTGTTTTTTGTTTCTTTTGAGGTAGACGTTAATAGTCTGATTTAATACAAATGACTTCCAAAGAATAAATTAAGTTTCTGGTAATTTTATTGACTAAAGAGAAATGGTCAGATCATGGACCTTAGGTTGATTCTTTGAAGTAAAATACAAGGCATATTTTCAAAAGACTATCAAAGATGAGACTGTGTAACATAACTGAGAATGGAATTTAGATATTGAACTTGGTAGACAGCTTTTCTCCCAGTAATTCGTTGGTGCCCAGGTATGTCCTGGATTCTGTTATTATATGGTTTCTGTACCAAATTAGTATATAGCCTCTTTATTTTTTAGCTTTCTTCAATATTTTAGTATTTAATATCAACCTAAGGAGTAAACTATAAGTAAGAACAGTGCTGGCATTGGATTTAGCCTGAGTAGTAAAGCACACATTCTCCCTTGGTCCCCTTGCAGGGTGCGGTATATCTTGAATGTCACTCGAGAGATAGATAACTTCTTCCCAGGAGTCTTTGAGTATCATAACATCCGAGTATATGATGAAGAAGCAACAGATCTCCTGGCTTACTGGAATGACACTTACAAATTCATCTCTAAAGCAAAGTGAGTAATGGTCCCACATACATGCTCTGACCCATGTCCCCCCCTGCACCACACACGGCTGGGTCCTGCGAGCTGTAGACGGCTTACTGTCTGTACTCTGGGAGAAGGAATTAAACAAAAAAAAGGAGACTGAGGTTCCTTAATCCTGGGGAGAATTTGACCGGTGATTCCATACTCCCTGTAAGTAGATGAATCCCCTGGACCAAGATAATCTCCTATTGACTGTTCGCACTGAGCCCGAGGTGAGGGAGGGCAAATGGAAGATGCTGCAAATGCAGTAGGAGTGAGAGAAGGAAGACGTTCTGAAGGAAGGGCTGAGTTGCCAAAGGGGATGTGGGAAAGCTAGAGAACAGAGATGACTCCAGGTGGGTGGGATACTGAGTCCTCCTTTCTGAAGACTAGAAGGGAAACTTAGCCTTGGAACTCCTTTTTCATTCTTCTCCTTTACCCTTATGGGACACTAAACAGTGAAATTTTCCTCTGGCCCTCCTGTTCATGTCATCTTTAAATTAATTGGTCCTTTTAGTGAAACTAATAGTTTTAATTTAATGTTTAGTGTTAATTAGTATTAGTATGTCAATGCTGGTGTTTTTTTTTTTAAAGTCCCTGGGGATTTCCTTGCCAATCCTATATATTCCTTCAATAGAAGGAACCATAAATGAGCATGTTGGCCACGCTGCCCCTTTGATGGGACCACGTTCAAATCATCCCTGACAGATGAGAAGTACTTCTCATTTTTAAAGTCCTCCTACAGCGGTGATTCCATGTCTTTCTGCAGAACCTCCATAGTCAAGAAGTTCTTCCTCTTAGTTACCCTGAATCCTCCTACACTAGCTTTGAGCCCATACTCTCAGTCCCTAGCTAGCACCTGGAAGAGTGTTTTATATTCTTGAAGCCTATTACTAAATAGTTCTCAGTAATACCACTCATGGCATGCTTACTATGTGCCAGGTACTTTACACTTTATCCTCTCATGTAATATTTTCCAGAACCCAGAGAGACATATACCGTCATCCTTTTGTATAGATGGGGACAGACTATAGAGACGAGGTTCAGAGAAGTTAGGGAACAAGTGGTGAAGATAGGACTTAAACCTAAGATCGTGTCTTACTTCCGTGTCTATCCAGTATTTAGGAATAGTCTAGTTCCTTAAGGAAGGGAGACTGGAAAAGACTGAGCAAGTGGTGAGGATCACATCCAAAGAGGCTAGAGTTCAGGTGAGGCCCCAGTCCCAGTGAAAGGAAAGGCCAGTTTCAGCCCTGAGGTGAGATATGTGAGGCATGCGGGGAACACATGAGCAGGCAGTCGGGCTCTTGCTTGGGCTCATGCGAGTGTAGGTCAGCATCTGAGAGGGAGCACCTCCTTAAATGGCACCCCAGGCACCTCATGTGTTTCCTCCCGATCAGGGCCCTGAATTCCAGACTCGACCTACAGATGGGTGGGTTTAGGATTCCTGAAGGAATACCAGGCTTAATCTAGACAACCTAGCATGGGAAAGGGCCAGAGGGGTTGGGGGGTGCATGGCTGAAACTGAAGACGAAATTGGATTTTCCGAACTGATTTCAGATCCTTCAATATGTGAGTTAGAAGCCATCTACTGAGAAAGCCACATTCAAAATGAAGAAATGCTTTTATGGGGGTGGATTTCATAACTGTATGTTTCTTAAAATTGTCCAACTTTGAGCACCTTCCATGCCTGCAGGTATAGACCTGAAATTTGAAGTCAGAGCTTGATGGGGAAATATAGAGCACATGTCTGAACTTATATCTGAGGCATTCTGCCCTGTAGTCTAAATGAAAACCCTGTGGTGCCAGAAACAAAACGAAAATGTCCTAGTCATTTGTGATCAGCTAAGCACACAGAGACACAACCTGCACCAACCTAAAGACTCCAGAATTTCGCATCTAAATGATGGGTAGGAAGTTAATCTTACCTTCCTTCTGAGACTGTTTTGGTTATTGCAGATCATTCTCTGAATTCCTATCACTTATCTGGCACATAACCTCATTCCTATCATTTTGGCACATAACCTCATGCCTTCCTTGCATTGTACTTAACTCTTTCGTGTGTGTCTGTCTCCAGCAGAAGTGTTATAAGCCTCTGGAAGGAAGCTTGTTTACTGTAATACAGTGAGTGAGTGAATGAGTAGGTTTTCCCTATTAGGCTGATGTACATTTTTTTTTTTTATTTATTAGAATAGCCACATGGGAAGGATTTTTAGCCCAGATACACTAGTGAAGAGAGTAACCATTCTTTTTTCCAGATTTTTGAAATATTTCTGCTTCCAGCCGACAGACCTAACAGCAGATCCATAAGTTTATTCATACATTTAGTAAATATTTGAAGGCTTACTTTGTGCTAGACACGGTGTTATTAGCAGAATTAGCATAGCAGGACTGAGTAATGTTCATATCCAAAGTAAGGAGCTCTGGCATCTTGAGACCACACAGTTTTGTTTATTTTTTTACAGTCACTTTATGGTAAATTTGCTTTCTCTTTCTTCTGCCCCATTCATTCCATTCTCCTCACTGAGAAAGCCATGTGGTGCATCACATGGTCCCATCCAACTCCACGGATTGTCTAGCCAGTCCCTAGACAGAACACGGTGGTGGTGTTGTGAAAAGTGATAGCAAGGGCTACATCTGAGTAAAGAGGAGGGTTAGTTTCATTTGGTTTGTACTCTCCTCCAGGGACAGAACCCTTCCTGGAACTTGAACTGGAAACAACTCAGAACATTTGGATAAAGCAGATGAATCACCGTCAAACTTGTAACTCAAGAGTGTGCCAGCCTTAAAACATGCCCCTGCAACTGTAAGGGCACTAGCCTCCAGACACGCAAAATGGGGTCCCATCTCTAACCTGAAAATTCTCCCCTTCACACTCATTGCAGTTACCATTTTACGTTCTAATTATCTCTTTCTCCCCCTGAACCCTACCATTTAGGGAAGATTTACTTTTCTTTGCCTCCCAGTACTTTGCACATTGTCTTACATACAGTGATTGTCTGGTAAATGTTTGCTGAATGAATTTAAAAGGGTTAAGACCAACACTGCATTTTGTTTGAGTACGCCAGGGTTGCCTACCCCCCCTGCACATTTGACGATAGATATTTACAAGTACATTAAGGTGGGATGGTTTGAAAGAAAATGGAAGGGCGAGAGGAGACCTGGGAACATTTAGAACCTAACTTTTAAAATGTACTCACTCTTGTGCTTTTTCCTCCTTACCTCAATCCCCCAATGTAGGAAACATGGATCTAAATGCCTTGTGCACTGCAAAATGGGGGTGAGTCGCTCAGCCTCCACTGTGATTGCCTATGCAATGAAGGAATATGGCTGGAATCTGGACCGGGCCTATGACTACGTGAAGGAAAGGCGGACAGTGACCAAGCCCAACCCCAGCTTCATGAGACAACTGGAAGAGTACCAGGGGATCTTGCTGGCAAGGTGAGTCCCTTCAGTGACTTTCTCAGATTTTCTCTGCATTATGCTCCCTGGGGCAAGATAAAATGTCCTTCCCTGCAGCTAGCTCTCAGCCTAATTTGGATGTGTGATAGATTTTGAAAGTTGAAACCTCTGTCAGTCCAGTTTTTTCAAAAATAAGTGCAGGCATTTAAGAATAGTATGAAGAGCAAGCATTTAAACTAAAGACATTTAAACTAAAAGGTGGAAATACTGTTTTCTTACTTTAATTCTCAAGTAGGTGCTGATTATCAGAAACATTTCCCAACATCTTCTAAGGCCAGACACCGCTGCCTTATCAAAATGGATACTTACTGCTCCCAAAGTAATGCTAAGCATAGATGAAGTTCTTAGAAATTTTTTCAGCCCATTCTTTAAAAGAAAAAAAAAATTTTTTAAGTACTGGGTGCTGTTTTAGTCATTATTTTTTATCAGTGCTTGGTTTCAGTGAGCCTTCTCCAAAATTTTTGTCATGTGAAAAATCAAATTTGGGCTATGAAGGCACTTCCCGAAAATAACTCTCTTCTTCTTCTTTTAAAAATCTTTTAATCTGGTTATATATATGTGTATACACACACACACACACACACACACATATGCGCGCATATATATATATATATATATATATATGCTTTACAGAAATGCAGAAAACACAGAGAGAAAAATCATTTATAAATTCAGTACCAACAGACAGTATTCGACATTATCTTTCGTGTTTCTCCAGGTCTGACTCTTACCATATATATTGATGGTTATTTTCTCACAAAAGCTATTCTTCAGCCCCCCTCTTCACCCAGTAACTGTCTTCCTTTTTTTTTTAACTATAGCAATGCATATTGAACAGTTACACTGCAGTTAGCCCTCACTTAACCATCCTTCCCCCCGCCCCCACCCAGCTTTACTGAGATAGAATTGTCATATAACATTGTGTAAATTGAAGGTGTCCAGTGTGTTGATTTGATGCATTTATGTATCGCAGACGATTATCACCGCAACATTAACTAACGCTTCCATTCCTTCACATGCTGTTTCTTTATTCATGGTGAAAATATTTAGGATCTCTCTTAGCAACATTCAAGTACATGATATAGTATTATGAACTATAATCTCCATCTTCCATTAGATCCCAGAACTTACTAATCTTATAACTAGAAGTTTATACCCTTTGACCAACATCTCCCCATTTCCCCCATCCTCTACCCCCTAGTAACCACCACTTTATTCTCTATGTCTCTGAGTATGGCTTTTTTAGTTACACATATAAGTGATACCATTCAGTATTTGTCTTTCTCTGTCTACCCAATGCTAGATCTTGAACATCTTTCTGTATCAATAAGAACTACTCATTTCAGCATAATATAATATAATATAACCTTGGTAATTGGTTATAAAATGAGTAATTAATTGTTTATTATTTTACCTTGGTGGTGGTGAAAGCCACTTTCAACTGCTCTCAAGTAAAGAGATTCGCATTATTAAACTGTGTTTAAGGGTCAGTTTCCTGAGATACCAGATGCTGAAGTTCTGTGGAGTCTAGACTTTGCTTTGATTTTTTTCATGTGTGCATGTTCTAGGTGGTTTTGTTCAGATGAAGGCACGGCTGCCTAGAAGCGGTTGGGGCTGGTGCCAGAGTTTGACTCCAGTGAGTCTTATGACTTGGTCTTGACTCTTGAATCTGGGCTGTGTTTCCCCCGAACAAAATGTTAAATAGCCTTCCAGCCTATCCAGGCAGAGGGACCACCCTCCCACCCCCGAAGTCTGGGGAAAATGTGGCCACAGCATAGCATTATGGTTTCCACTAAAAAAAAAAAACCCCTCCCGTTTACTCAGTACTTGGCATGATTTCATCTGAGCCATTCTTTTAGGAGGCAGGGAGGATACTCACTCAAGTCTCCTGCACTTAAAAAGAATTTAGAGGTCTTTGGGGCCAGATTTTGATGACATTTTTAGATTAGATCAGAAGGTAGGACACGGCGGTTCTTTTTGGCACTAGAAAGAGGCATCTGAGGGTCGGATGAGACATAAATATTGTATGTTCCCAGGCACACACATGACGGATGTTAGGCAGTATCCTCACGTGACCCATTGAGAGCAAGGATACTATGTGTCCTGCCAATTTCAGTATTTATTCTGGAATCTCAGGCTACTGCAAGCTGTTGGGTTGGGTTTTTTTAGAGTATGTGGTTTTTCTTAGATGTTAAAGGAACTTCAGAAAAATCGTAGATGAGGATAAGAAGGGCAGCATAACCCACAAATCACACTGCCTCTTCCTTTCCCTTTTGGTTCTATCCTGCCTTCCTGGGCTTGATTCATGGAGGGAGGAGCAAGCCCTGGGGAATGAGAAAAACCACAGAATTGGAGTCAATAGATCTGGTTTCCATCTCTGGTTCATCCTCTTGCTGCAACTTTGAGGAGTTACTTCACAGTTCTGATCCTTACCTGACCCCATTTGTAATTTGAAAATCAAGAGCCCTAGGTCACACTGAAACTAGTAATACAGTGTATGTTAACTAAATTGGATTTAAATTAAAAAAAAAAAAATTTAAGAACCCTATGTCACAGGGTTATTTTAAATAGAAATGTGTATAAATAAATGTATACTACAAGGGCACCTGGCTGGCTCAGTCAGAGGAACCTGCATATACCTCTTGATCCTCAGGATTGTAAAAAAAACAGTGAACACTGTATACTGGTAAGGGTTATTCTAGTGTGGTTCTCCAGGGCCACCCAGAAACACACACATGCATGTGCCACCTATTCCCTCCTCCTTCCTCCAGCCACTGCCTTCCACCACCCACAGGCACACTAACTCCATTAGAAACTAGAATGGGAAGTGGTCCTGGAATTTCCTGTACTGTGATGTTTCCTGGATGTTAAGAACTAGAATCTAGTGCTAGGGGTATTGCTTAGGCTGCTTTCAAGTGCAAATAATAGAATACCTCCATTGATCGGGATCTCAGCAAGAAACAGCATACTCGGATTAGGATGATTTGAGGAGGGCTTTACAAAGATGTGGGATTGTAGTAGAATCAAGGAACTTGTATCAGCAAGAGCTGTTCGCTAATAGCTGTGAGGTCCAGAGGGAGCCAGCTTGTAGAGCCTGGAAGGAGATTTCTGGAGAAAGAGGCCCCTTCAGAGAGGAGAAATAACCTTCAGTCAAGGAACGCAGTCAGCCTGAAGTGACCCTGTGGGGAGAAAGCTAGGGGAGTAAGTGGCCTGCCTTTACACTCCTCCCTCCAGACTGTCTCCTCCTGGGGCTCCCATGAAACAGTGAATACCCAAATCAAATCAGGTCTCTGCCAGTTAGGAGAAAGAGTGGGAGTGCCTGCTGTGTATACAATCATTAGGGTCTGCAGTCTCCGATGTTTTCGTTTTAAGAAACAGACTTGTAGGCTATTGCCAAACTAGCTGCCAAGTGGACTAGGCCCAGCAGATTCTTGCCCAGCCCTAGAGCACTACTCCAGGGTCTGCCTGCTCAGAAAAGCAAAAACAGAGAAGCCCCAGACTTCTGGAACTGTCGGAAGCTCTACAGCTTAGGTAACCAGAAGAAAGTCCTTAGAAAAATCCCACTCATTCTGTTTGCAAAGAAATCCATTTCCTGTGGAGGTACTTCAGTCTTTTATTGCAGGAACCATGGGGTGGTTCTCCCAAAAAGAAAGAGCCTGATCCTAGCACTCTTTAGCCCCCATGGTTGTCTAGTGGCACTGGGTACTTAACTTGAGGTGGCAGCCCTCTGAGGGTATTAGCTTGGGGCTTTGACGTCTTGGTAGAAGAGGAGTTTACCAAAGTGATACCAGGCCTCTGTAAGTGATTTATGAATTGGTTACAGTCTCTTAATCAGAATGCGAGGCCATGGGCCAAATAGTGACCACCTGTCTGAAATGCAAGGGACTTTTTGCGTAGTTCAGTATGTCTTTAAGAGCCCAGGGAAGGCTAATATTTAATATAACCCTTTGGGCCTAAAGAGGAGGTTACCATAAAGGCACTGATACTATTCATATCTAATTTTATTTTTTATGTTTTTATAGCTGGGGGTGGGGGTGAGATAGGAAGATGGTGTGTGTGTGTGTGTGTGTGTGTGTGTGTGTGTGTGTTGAAATCCTCCATTAAACTCCCAACAGCCATGTTCATTATTCTGTTCTCTGATCATGCCGGTATCTGGCAGATTTTTGTTCCATTAGACAAGTTCAGATTTCAGGCATTTGCAAGCTGGACCATGTGTCTGTGATACTAGGTTCCAATGTACAAGGGGCAGAGAAGAAACACTGGGTGGTAGCCAGGGAGAATTCGTGCCACATGTCTTCATAGATGTCAGTTTTGATTCTTTGCACACCCCTATCACTAGGGCCAGAGGAGGCAGAGGTGTCTGTTACACTCCCTTGCTTTGCTGGTGGAGACATCCAAGTCTGGTTCACTGGTGCACAGTGGTCAACCAGCAGGAGGGAACCTGATAATGAATCCGCATCGTAATTGAGATTAATGGCTCTTCACTGAAATAGTTTTAAAGCATTTAGGGACCATGGACAACACGTAGAAGATGCTCAATGTTGCTTTTTCTTTCTTCGCCTTTCTTCCGGCTGTCTAATGTCCTCTAAGACATAGTAGCGTAAACAGTCTCATTTTACTATATAACTGATACTCCATTTTTAGCAGTATTTTCCTCTATGTAACTTTCTCAGACCAAGATGGTGCCTTACCAAGCATGTAACAAGGAGAAAGAAAGCAAATTGGAGACAAGAGAATGGGATATCATGTGTCATTTAGATTTCTGTCTTGTTCATTTATGCAGTAAAAGGCCAATATCAGGTCTGAGTTCACTCAAGGGAGGCAAGACCCGGAGACTTCTTTGGATCACCCAGGCCACAAACCAACTCTGAAGTTCTTTTTGGCAACTTGTTTACTTGATGCCTACCTGAAATAGGGGAAGGGAGTCAGTTGGATTTAAACATTAACAGTTTAAAATAATAAATATGACCCAGTGTCCTACATCCATCCCTGATATCAGGCTAAACGGACGTGGGGAGAAGCCGCACTGGAAGGCAGGTTGGTGTCACTGGGTGAAACTGATGGCGTACATGCACCCTGTGACCCACCTTCTCCGCTCCTGTATATGACATCTTTTAGAGACCAGAGTATCTACCAAGTGCAAGAATGCCCTTGGCAGTGCTGTTCGTCGTAGCCAGACCTGTTCATCAACAGGATGGGTAAATAAACTGTGGTATATTCATCACACTCTGAAATTACAGCTGCACATATTGATGAATCTTTAAAACAGTGTAGGCAAAAGGCAATTGTAGACGAATATATACATAGAGTATGATTTTATTTATGTAAGTTCACAACATGCAAAACCAAACAGCATCTTAAGAACAAAACGGTGATGACATTATGAAGAAAGAAGATGATAAGCACAAAATTTAGGACAGAGTTTACTAAAACCTCTGATTTAGGAGGAGGGAGAGGGAGAACAGGAAGGGGCACCTGGAGAAGCAGTGCGTCCAAGGCCGCGGTAATGAGTGTCTTGATTCTATGGACGAGCTAGCTGCCTACCCCTCTTCCGGCTGCTCTTGCTGCAAAAACGAAAGAGGCAACAGAATCAGACCTATCTTTAGATTGGGATTTTTCTTTCTCCTTTACAAGTAGGTGTCAGTTTAATTCCGAGCCCTGACCTAATATTTTCTGATGATTATCTCCCCCAGGAAGAGAAGGAGATCCCTGCTGGGCAAAGGAGCTGTAATGGCAGTCACTTCCTCTGAAACATACACTGTTGTTACCTGTTAGCATAATTTCGTTCTCATTCCCTCCTAATGGATTAGTGACTTGTAGGCAGTTTTTAAAAAATCATATTTTGGGGGGCACCTGGGTGGCTCAGTGGGTTAAGCCGCTGCCTTCGGCTCAGGTCATGATCTCAGGGTCCTGGGATCGAGCCCCGCATCGGGCTCCTTGCTCAGTGGAAAGCCTGCTTCCCCCTCTGTCTCTGCCTGCCTCTTTGCCTACTTGTGATCTCTCTCTCTCTCTGTCAAATAAATTTAAAAAAAAAATCATATTTTGGAAGGTTCTTGGGATCATGAAAAGTCCCATTTGCCTCTTGATTGGTAAAAAAAAAAAAAGCTGTTCTTTTACATTTTTAGAAGGGTGAGAACAGCTACTGCCTGAGATGTCTTCCCAGTCCTTTGCATCACATGAATTGTCCTGCCTTGGGGGCTGAAAGGAGTTGGTGCAGGTCTGAACATCCTCATGATAGGTGAGGGTTAGAAATTGGAGAACACAGCCACGTGTGTAGGTCAGGAACCAAGAGTATCTAGTTATAAAAGAAACTTTAAAGGGAAGCATGTGGCCTGGGTTGATCACTGGGTATGGTTCAGGCCCCACCTATGCAACTATTCAGTTTGCCCCTCCCCACAGTCACTCACTCGTTTGGGATGTGTGATATGTTGTCTCCTCCTAGGGGTGACTGGAGTTCATGCAGCTTGGAACGGGTGAAAACCCTACCTACCTCCCAGCTATTGTCTTCTTAAACAGAATGACCTGTTCCCTACCCGGAAAAGCGCCGTTCTGCCGTGCGGGCCTGAGTCAGAGAGAGCCCCACCCCAACAGCAGACAGACAGGGGGAGCTGAGAGCAGGTGCAGAGTTGAGAACAAACAGGGGTTCACATTAGTGCAGGCGCATGACTCGGCAGAGACTCACAGGCAGGCGTGGCCCTGAGCCTTCGGGAAGCCGTTTTGGGCTATTTCCCATTACACTCTGCAGTTAGGTGATTCTTCATCAACTTGTGAGTCGTGGAAACCACACCCTAAGTGCCACATCCAGGGACCTGTTTCCTGGGTACCTGATCTGACCAGCCACAGGGCCACATTTTTCTTTTTGGCTAGGGCTTTGGGAAATGTGCTCCCTTGTTACATGGTTTGAAATGAAATCTCATCCCATCAGAACTTTTCTCCATGGGCGCCTGGGTGGCTCAGTTGGTTAAGCATCTGCCTTCGTCTCAGGTCACGATCTCAGGGTCCTAGGATCGAGGCTTGCATTGGGCTCCCTGCTCAGTGGGGAGCCTGCTTCTTCCTCTCTCCCCTGCTCGTGCTCTATTTCTCACTATCTCTCTCTCTCAAATAAATGAATAAAATCTTAAAAAAAAGAATCTCTAAAATTCACATTCCTACCAGCTGTATATGAGAAGATTTGTTTGACCATGCCATCATCAACACTAGCTGCTAGCAACCATTTTAAGCTCTTATCAGTCTGGTAGGTAGAAAAATCAGATCCCATATTTGTTTTTATTGTTGTTTGCTTCGTTTTTGCTTTTTGCTTTTAGTTAAATTGAGCATCTTTACAAATGTTTATTGCCTACTTCTTGCATTGGGTATTACCAAGCAATTTTCAGGTTAAGATTTAAATTTATCTGGGAGCAGTTTCCTGGGAGGGTGTTGACTGACTTCACAAACCCCAGAGTAAGGCATTTCCTGTGTATGTCCTCCACAGCAAACAGCGGCATAACAAGCTCTGGAGATCTCATTCAGATAGCGACCTCTCAGACCACCATGAACCCATCTGCAAACCAGGGCTAGAACTCAACAAGAAGGAGATCACCACCTCAGCAGACCAGATTGCCGAGGTGAAGACCATGGAGAATCACCCACCCATACCTCCCGTCTTTGTGGAACACGTCGTCCCACAAGATGAAAATCAGAAGGGCCTATGTACCAAAGAAAGAATGATCTGCTTGGAGTTTACGTCTAGGGAATTTCATGCTGGACAGATTGAAGATGAATTAAACCTAAACGACATCAATGGATGCTCATCAGGGTGTTGTCTCAATGAATCAAAATTCCCTCTTGACAACTGCCATGCATCCAAAGCCTTAATCCAACCTGGACAGGCCCCAGAAATTGCCAACAAGTTCCCAGACTTAACAGTAGAAGATCTGGAGACAGATGCCCTGAAAGCAGATGTGAACGTGCACTTACTGCCTCTGGAAGAATTAACATCTCGCCTGAAGGACCTTCCCATGTCCCCTGATCCTGAATCACCGAGCCCCCAACCCAGTTGCCAGGCTGAAGTCTCAGATTTCAGCACGGATCGCATTGATTTTTTTAGCGCCCTGGAAAAGTTTGTAGAGCTTTCCCAAGAAACCCGGTCCCGATCTTTTTCCCACTCAAGGATGGAAGAACTGGGTGGAGGAAGAAGTGAGAGCTGTCGGCTATCAGTGATGGAAGTAGCCCCTTCCGAAGGGACAGCTGATGACCAGAGAAGCAGCTCTTTGAGTAATACTCCCCATGCATCTGAAGAATCTTCAATAGATGAGGAACAGTCAAAGGTAAAAACTCTTTATAGTGGTTCTCTAGCTAATGAAGTTCTTTTGGAAGACGAAGTATTTGGGATTCTGCTGTGTTCATTTTATTTTCGAATTCCTAAAGATTTAGGAAGGCAGTATGGGAGAGACTGTGGCTGAGACTTTCCTTGAAAACTTAAGGTTTAAAAAAAATTTTTTTTTAAGATTTTATTTATTTATTTGACAGAGAGAGATCACAAACAGGCAGAGAGGCAGGCAGAGAGAGAGGAGGAAGCAGGCTCCCTCCTGAGCAGAGAACCCGATGCGGGGCTCGATCCTAGGACCCTGAGATCATGACCCGAGCCGAAGGCAGCGGCTTAACCCACTGAGCCACCCAGGCGCCCCAGGTTTAAAAATTTTTAAATCCATTGCATTTTGAAGAATTTATCTTTCCAAGCTTTTGGTGTCTTTGGAAGCACTTCTGAGAGGGGATTTGAGTGGGGGCAGATTAGCCAAAACAAATGTCCTGCCTGTACAAGGAGAGGTCCCCTCCCTGGACCTCTGTGATTCAAATCCGTTCTTACCAATAATGAAGTGCCTGGGAGTTACACACTGCCTGTGTAAGACCTGTGTCTCTCTGAGGAGATGGGATTTGTTTGGGAAATTCTGTCTTAGAAAATTCAAAGACTAGACATGTGTAAATGGTTGTCAGGGTAGCAACCCATGCTGAGTTCTTGCTATTAATAATGTTTCTGGATTGGTCCTCATCTCAGACCCGTGGTATCCAAGACTTCAGGGATAGTTTTGGGAAATGATTGAGGGCAGACAGACTGAAGATTCTTCTCTGTGGCATATGAGCACTTAGGAGCCATTTCAGACCAGGGAAAGAACTGTGTATCACCAATTCTAAGACTCACTCTTATTCTCATTTTGATATTTCTGAAATCGGGATGCATCTTAAAAACAATGGTATTTTAGATCAGTATAATATAGTAGTTAGGAAGTAAATGGTGACAGATTTACTTAATGATTTCAGGGTAGGTGACTCCATTTTTGCATTTCCTGTTACTTGTCTGGTTATATCTACCACCTTGGCCATGACTTACCTTTTCTCTCTAACTACCCTAGGGCAGTCATTGCCTCTGCTTCCCTCTTCTCTCCCCAAAGGTTATGTCTTTGCTTCATTTTGACTGGGAAATCAGAATGCTTGGACCAGTGGGTATAGCAGCTCTGACAGAAATAGCTTTTCTGCAAAGTCCCTCGTCATATGAGTACTCTCTCCACAACCTGTGCACACACTGGGCCCGCTGGGCTTCTCTCCCAGTCTTGGCTAGTTTATTTCTGCCTAATGTCCCAGCAGATTTCTCTTAAAGGTGTAACTGACCTTGTCGGTTTGTATTAGCTCTGACTTTCTTTTGAAGGAGAAAGATCAGAACAATTCCTAGGGAAATATTACACTTTGAAGGCTTATAAAAATGTTAAAGTAGGGGCATCTGCGGGGCTCAGTCAGTTAAGTGTCTGCCTTAGGCTCAGGTTATGATCTCAGGGTCCTGGGGCGGGGGGGGGGGGGTCCCAGCTCAGCAGGGAGTCTGCTTCTCTCTCTCTCCCTCTGCCCCTCCCCTCTGCTCGTACTCTCTGTCTCTCAAAATAAATAAATAAAATCTAAATAAGTAAATAAATGAACAAAATATTAAAGTAGATTGATGGTTGTCAAATGCCACTTTAAGAGATATCCAAAAGCCATTTTCAGATTTTGAAATTCTTACCTTTTTTTTTTTTTTTAACAATAGGACTTTGTTTTATATTGGCTAATTTTCTTTTGCCTCGTCCTGAACGCATCTAGGAATTTGTAACTGGTAGAACAGTAATACATCAGAGAGTCACAGTTTCTAAGTTTGCTTAGGCATGTGGCTCCATAAGCCAAGTAAACCTTTCCCAGAAGGAGCCATGTGAAATCTGGAAATCGTGTGATCAGGTACAGAGTGCCCTCACATGCTGGAATGCTACTGCCAAGAGAATGCCAAGAGTGGGAGGGTAAGGATGAAAGCTGGCAGGACAGAGGAGAGAAGAGAGCAGTGAGTCTCCAAATCCGACATCAGATGATAACCTCATTCATCTTGCCCTAACACTGGGCATATTTAAGGTGGTCACTAAGTCCTTGAGTGGAACTCTTCCCTTGAACTTCCCCTTGAACTAGGTTGGAATCAAACTGGGAGTTGATAGGCCAGAGAAGAAAAATCTCATCTACCCCAGTATAGCCCAAATTCTGAAGGCTAATGGTGTTAGGAAAGTAAGGATTGGGGCACCTGGGTGCTCATTCTGTTGGGTGTCATCTCAGGGTCCTGAGATCAAGCCCTGCATCCCGCTCCTTGCTCAGTGGGAAGTCTGCTTCTCCCTCTGCCCCTCCCCTTCCCCATTTTCCTGTGTGCACTCTCTCTCTCTCTCTCTCAAATAAAATCTTAAATTTAAAAAAAAAAAGGGGGGGAGCGCCTGAGTGTCTCAGTGGGTTAAAGCCTCTGCCTTCGGCTCAGGTCATGGTCCCAGCGTACTGGGATCGAGCCCTGCATTGGGCTCTCTGCTCAATGGGGAGCCTGCTTCCTCCCCTCTCTCTCTACCTGCCTCTCTGCCTACTTGTGATCTCTCTCTCTATCAAATAAATAGATAAAATCTTTAAAAAAAAAAAAAAGATTTATAGGAACCTCCAAGACTATCCACTCTGCATTTTTGGAGCAAGGGTTGGAATTCTGTTTTGAGTAAACAGAACAAAAGTTTAGTAGACAGTGATACAAGCTGTAACAAATTTTGTATGTCTTCCTTTGATGAATCTGTTTGGTTTTTTTTTTTTTCCTTTTGTGACAACACAGATGGACAAAGGAGAGTCCCAGGCACTCGACGATTTGTGTCCTCATAGCCAGAAGGTTCTCCCAGATTAGATGATTAGTAAACAAAACATCTGGCATTTTTTATTAGACCATGGTTTGCCATAACCATCTCACTGTTTTCTCCCTAGGCAATCTCAGAACTGGTCAGCCCAGACATCTTCATGCAATCTCACTCAGAAAATGCAATTTCAGTCAAAGAAATCGTTACTGAGATTGAATCCATCAGTCAAGGAGTCGGACAGATTCAACTGAAAGGAGACATCCTGTCTAACCCATGCCATACACCAAAGAAGCATACCATCCATGAGCTGCCACTTGAGAGAGCCCAGGCCCTGGAGAACAAACCTGGAAATCTGGAGCATAGTGAGGCTTCCTACACAGCCCAGCCTGAACTAGCCAAAGACTCAGGGAAGTGGGACCTAGAAGGCTGCCTAACCACACACTCATCCACTGCAGAGCTGGAAGACGAGGAACCAGCTGAGGAGGAACAAGAACTTTGGGGCCCTGGAATGCACCCAGGTGCCAAGTGGTACCCTGGGTCCGTGAGGCGAGCCACCTTGGAGTTTGAAGAGCGCTTGCGACAGGAGCAAGAGCACCATGGTGCCGCGCCTGGTTGTGCCTCATTGTCCATTCGCAAGAATTCCAAGAATGATTTCTCTGTGGCAGACCTAGCACCAAAAGGGAAGAATGATGAAGCTAGCCTTGAACTTTGTTTTGTCCCCAAGGAACCAGAGATTAACAAGGGCAAAGGGAAGTGCAGTGGGTCGGAAGCTGGCTCACTACCCCAGTCTGAGCAAGTAGCCATTGGTCCAGCACCTGAGCTGCTGCAGTTTCAAGAGCGCCCAGGGTCAGACACTAGAACAAAGCAGGAAGGAGTCCTGAAGGAGCAGAGGACTGTGGTTTCATGCCAGGGATCTGAGACACAGGCAGCCCCTCTCTCCCTTCCCAAGAAGGTGGAAATCATTGAGTATCCCCACGTGGTTCCATCCCCCAGTCATCCTGGGCCAGGGGGTGAAAGAGCCACCAGCATAAAGAGTGGGGAGCAGGGACTGAGGAAAGCGAAAGTAGAGGACTCGGTCCCCATCCTCTGTGCACTGGATGAAAATCTGAACAGGACTCTGGGCCCCACCCAGGCTCCTCTGCACCCCAACGTGCTACCTCTGCCTCATTCTTCCCCTCCTGAGCACGACAGTCCCACTGACCTGACCTCCACCCTGAGCAGCCCTGAAGCCTGGGACGACAGCCTGTCGACAGCCCCGGAAACAGGAGCACCTTTTGTCAGTCGCACAACCCATGTACCATCTGCCAACTTGGATCACGCACATCCCCAGACTGTAGTTCATCTGGAAGGCTTCACAGAGCAAAGCAGCACCACAGACAACGAGCCCTCTTCAGAGCAGGGTAGCTGGGAAGAAAGTCAGGAGGGCCCCTTTTCCAGTGGCAACGAAGTGCCATACGAGGACTCCCAGTTAACTAGAGAAGACCTAAGCCAACTCGGTGACAATATTGAGGAGTTACAAGAAAAACCGGACCCACTTCCTGTAGCCTGTCAACTCCCACACAGCTCTAGTGGTGACAGCATAAAGGGTCTCAGCCATAGCCCCGGTGTGGTGAAAGAGCGCACTAAAGAAATCGAGTCCCGAGCGATTTGCCAGGGAGGGCTTACCAAACCATCCCAAATGAGGCATTCAGCTTCCCTCGCCAAGTTAGGTTACTTGGACCTCTGTAAAGACTGTTTATCGGAGAGAGAGCCTCTCTCCTCTGATCCCCCTCATCTCAAGCTGCTTCAGCCCTTCAACAGAACGGACACAGGCATGCACGCCATGGAGGCCCAGGAGCCCTCAGAAAACCCAGATGCCCCCCAGAACCTAGAGCCCACCAAGTATTTTATAGAACAGCTCAAAACAACAGAGTGTATCGCGCAGAGCAAGCCAGTGGAGAAGCCCATCGTACAGTATGCCAAAGAATTTGGTTACAGTCAGCAGTGTTTGCTCCCCAGGGCAGGACCCGAATTGACTAGTTCTGAAGGAGGCCTTCCTTTGCCACAACCCCAGGGACTGCAGTGTGCAGGCCCAGCTCCAGGGCTGGCTGTGGCGCCCCGTCAGCAGCACGGCCGAACTCACCCCCTTAGGAGACTTAAAAAAGCAAATGATAAAAAACGGACAACCAACCCCTTCTATAATACCATGTGATTCTGAGCCTACACATGTGACTTTCTGAAAGAAATGTCTGTAAAAGGGGCAGGTGTAATATGTAAGGAACATGCACTTTATGGGTTAATTTTATAATATTTTGGTCATTTTACTGTTCCTGGCGCATGCAGGGTTTGGGTTGGTTTTTTTCCCCCCTCTGTGTATGTGTGCGTGAAAGAGGAAAAGAGAGATTGATTCAGACAGCAAGACCATTTTAGCATTTTTTTATTTTTAGAAAACTCAAACCTCAAAAAATACTCATTTTCAAAGAGCACCTTTATCAAAGGCAAATTGCTGTTTTTCAGTCAGCTCCCACCTGCTCCTCATTTGCCCTCCGAGAAAAAGCATGCTTGCTTACTTGCTTGAGGAAGGAAGTAGCTGGGGAGGGTGGGGATGAAGCTGGAAATCGGAAATGCTCCCCTGGGCCTGTGTGATGATGGTTTGGGCTTCAGACCTGATGCATGGGATTGAGCTGAAGGGCCGCTGCAAGTCCACGGACTCTCAGCCTTGGGCCCACTGAGAGTTCCCAAGGCGGGCAGGTTCTGCTTTGCTCTCAAAGTTGCGGGGGGGGGAGGGTCTTCCAGAAGCCACTTCTTCTGGATTCCTGAGTCCATCATTACCGAAAGGCAGGATAATGGCTGGCTTTGTAAACTTACCAAGTAAATAGGTCCCCCCGACCCAGCACATGATTTTTAAATTAAAAGTGAACCCCAGATGAAATCTGAGAGATCTGTGTCGAGGAAAGCATATGAGGAGGAGGAGGCGAAGTCTGCAGAGGCTGCTGCCCGGTATCTTCCGGGTTAGTATCTTCCTCCACATGGGCGGTCACCCTGGCCCTCCCTGTCAGGAAATGTGCTCTGCAACATCCTTTCAACTAAAACAGAACAGGGACAAGTTTGAAAAACAGCAATTGAAAGTCAGTGTGTTCTTGTAAAATGAATACGTACGTAGGGTTTTAACACTTCCATTACTTGAATAATTCTGTGGGCCTTCTGAGTTTAATGGCCATATATTTTTCCAATTTGCTTTTCTCCCTCATGCTGTTTCTCCCAGTGCTGCCCTTTTTTAAAAATTTCATAGATGATATTTGAATTGTTACATTACCTATGTATAACCTCCATTGAACGCGAAGTTTTCTTACCGATGTTATCGCTGTTAACACTTGACATGGGTTGTTTTTTTTTTTCCTGGAAGATTTGTCATTTCTCTAGTTTATACACAGTATTTATGTACATAATGTCACTTTCTTACAGTGTTTTGTTGTTGATGTCGTAGGATCTTTTTGATTTAATCTTTTTAAGAAGGATAAAGCTGCAACTGGAGAAAACAGACACCACAGAAATAAAACTGATGGGTGTTGGTAGGAATCTGCAGAGTATATCGATGGTGGTTTTAATTGTTAAGATGGAGACTTCTGATCGCCAGCTCCTGCCAAATTATGTGTTAGTAACTTCTTCCTCAGAGAAACCCCTAAAGGCTCCCATTAGATCACAGTTTGACTGAAAGCTGATTTCTCTTTGAGACTGAAATCCCAGAGCAGGTTGTTTGCCAGGAGCTGAACCACAGCCAGGGAGTGTATGTGAGTGATACCGCTGCCCAGGGCGGAAGCTTCCGATGGATTGGGCTGAAGGGTTCATGGGCAGGCAGGCCCCCCACCAAGGGCAGGCACCCACTATTGACTCCATTTAGGATGCTTTTGCTTCATTGCTATTGTGGAGCTCCTTAACACAGGAGCACTTGCCATAAACAAGCCTATTTGGGCTTCTTACAGAAAGCATTTAGCCTGGAATGAAATACCTTCTGCAGCTCATCAAAACTGAAGAGGTTTGCAAATTTGCTTCCTGTTTGCTTTGGTTGATGTCCACGTGGCTGAGAGGTTGACCAAGTACAGACTTGGGGTTTGGTTTTTGGCTCATCACAGCACTGAGAGGAAAGACAGATACCCAGACTGTCAAGGGGATTGTCAGAGGCCAGAGTTTGGTGGGGGGCAGATAGTGGGGTGACCTCCAGGGGAGAGAAAAGGTGGCCGGAGGCCATTCATAGGTGCTCCAGGGGAGCCGTGAATCTGGGTGCTGTGTGGAAGTTGGTCAGGTCTCACTTCGCTGCCAGGTGGTGGATTGGACAGAAACCTCCTGCTCTAAGTGTCTTTATGATGTAGTAATTATACGTACCTGTGCTGTCTTTAAATAGTTTCCTTGAATGTTCGAATGTATCCTCCACACACACGGCTTTGTGGTTCCTGGATGTTTAATGTGTTGTCAAGTGTTTTTGTTAGTTGGTGTGTAGCAGTGCGAGGAGGCTTGCAAGACAGAGTTATGAATTTCCAGGGCTCAGCCTGCTAAACAGCCCTGCCTTGTTGAGCCAGTTCCACCACCGCCAATACAAGAGGGAAAAGACAGGAAATTGTGGCGGGGGCAAGGAGAGGACGATTTGCGCTGAGGTGAAGAGAGTGGTGTCCTCTCATTAACCCTTTGAAATGGTGACATCCCTCACACAGAGAATTATAAGCAGGATGGACAGTATTACACTGCTCTCGCTCCTCCCCTGCAGCGGTGGTTCGTGCTCACCATCCCTGCATTAAGTAACAGCAGCTGTGGGGAGATCTTCTAATGCTGTGAAGAAAACTTTTTTTAAAGAAAAAGGAAATAGTCTTGCTCTCGCTTCCTTCTTTTAAGTAACATTCTTGGTTCTCGTTTAATTTACCTGCCTCAAGAAACATCCTGCATTCAGGGTCTGTAATTCACCCATGCTGTGGGGTTCCTGCCAGCCTCTCAAACCCCCCCACAACTGAGGGTTCTTGTGTTATTTGCATAGCTGAGCAATGTCCAGGGGAAGCACATGATGAGCCATCAAGGACTTCTCAGACTTTCTTGTCCTCAGACTTTTTGATAATCTCAGGTGGCCTATTTCCCTTTTCTGTTCATGGAAAGCTCAGACCCAGAACTGCAGGTCTGGTGGTTTGACAGAGATGAGTAGGAAAAGGCTTGACCTCTTGCTCAGTGCCTCTCTTTATCTTTATTTTGAAAACCACCGTAGTCTGACTCTCAGTTACCCTGGAGGAGAGGGTGTGTGTGTGTGTGTGTGTGTGTGTGTGTGTGCATACACAGATACACGCACACCTGTGCAAAAATACTTTAAAAAGTAATGTTTTGGTGCATGGGGTAGAAGCCCCAGGAGCATGCAACTTTTGAGCTGTAATCTGGAGGGTTACCTGGTGAGTAGGAAGGAGAGAGACTTCAACCCTTTCTTGATTTTAGAAACACTTAGGAGTAGTATATACTATAGTAGACCTCTAGTACTGTATTATAGTAATAATCATCTCTCCTCATTTTGGTTGCCCTTCAGAGTCTTAATGTTTGGGATCATTCTTAGCACCCTAGCTTCTTCAAGCTCTTGAGGTAGCATTTTCCTGGTTCTGTACCTGTATCCCAACCCTGTCTCATCTGGGGAACTACAAAGAGCTCCAAGGACCGCCTTGAGAATGAAAGCCCAGGCTCTGAAGTCCCCTCTTGCTCAAGGGCCCCAGACACAGACTTTTGGATAGACCTGAAGTTTCTCAGACATAGCCACTCACAAAAATCTTCATCTGTTCCATCTGAGGATTTCAGTTTTAAAGTGATCTAGGCATGTTTGGTAGAGAAGTTTCTGTGGGAGTTTTCTTTTTTTCTTTTACGAAAGCATTATGCAAAGAGGGTCACTTTTTAAGGACATTTTAAAATTTTTAAATAAAGCCATTCTTTGGCTCTTTTTGACAACTATTTGTGGATACTTTGTTTACATTGTGATAATTAAAACATGCATCCTCTTGACAGCCCCTCCTCCCTTCCTCCAGGCACGTGGCCCTGGCTGTCCTGTGAGTCCTCTCACAGAGCGAGGCCTCTGTGGTCAGCCCTGACTCACAGGGGAATGGGGGGGATGGACCCGGAGCTGACTTCCCTCTGTGTCCTGTACTCCCTTTCAACAGTCTGTGTGGAATTAGCCCTTTCCTCAGTCAGTGATGGTGTGTCTTACAGTGATGGTTGTAACGGTGAATGGCTAGTGTCCTTTTTGTCTCAGTTTGTTTTGCTTTTTGATGGTAGATGAAATTTTAGCTCTTTCAGCACCAGTCCCAACTTGAAGGTATCTTGGACTTTGTTTTCCCTCCCAGACTTAAAAGATCAAGGCATGTATTAGGCATAAATATATTTGCTGCCTCAACTCATCTGACACCCAGATTAGGAAACAGCCTGTCACCAAAGCAGGAAGCTGCACACTCCTAACCCCTGTCCCAGGCCTCTGGGGTCCCTCGATGCCATGGAGAGCTAATGCAAGGTGCTTGTGTACTTTCCCAGCCTGGAAGTGAAGGGTGACTGGCCCTGGCTCCTGCTATGAAAGAAAACCAGCATCATTTTCTCAGTGCCCCAGAGACCTAAGACAGGATTTCTAAACTGGAATCATCCCTCACTGGCTTGAAGATGCCTCAGGGGGTATATAACTAGTGCTGCCCTCTGGGTCCTCACAGCAACACTGGTGGCTTTGTCCTCTGTACACATGCAGAGCTAATACCCAGGGCTTCATTCAAGCAGATGACCCAATCTGGAAACTGGGTAACTGGCCCTGAAATGATTCTCCGCAAACAGGCCCACAGGGAATTGTTTGGTTTTTGTGGTTTTTTCGGATTTTGGTTTGCCTGGCATAGCTTAAGGTGCCTTTTATTTTTTTTTTTTTCTATTTTATTTTGTAGGACTTGTTCTAAATGTAGAAAACAAGTCCAAAAGACTCTCCCACTGACTGTTACCTTTGCCCCAGGCCAGTCCAAACTTTTATGCTCACATTTTATCAAATAAAGCAGGTGCTCCCTGGAATCTCTGGGACCTTTTTGAGGCATTTGAAGCAGAATATAAAGAGTGGTCTCATCTCCTTCCTTAATCTTCCTGGTGGTTGGGATGTTCCACTTGTATCATAGATTTTTTTTATTACTGATGTGCTCTGCTGTTTTTAAATGTGAACTTGTGCGCAAATGTGCAGATTCAACGTTCTTGTTACAGATTAAATAAATTTTTATTTTGAAGATGAAATGTGTATTTGATCAAGTGCAAAAAAAAGGGGGAAAGATGGTGCTAGAGCAGGTGGAGGGATTGGAAGAGAACACTGATGAGCAGTGGGAGGCACATGGAGCAATTCTCCTTGATCTCCCTCAT